ACCAACTATTATCGCTTCAGTCTAGATGAGGAAAAGAAAATTGCCTGCAGCAACTTCATTATAAATTCGTCGTCGAAACGAAAGGTCGTATAGAAAATTGTCAATTTGGAAAGAAATAATCAGATAAAGAACAGTGCTCATTCCAAACACTATAGACACTGAATTCAAAGTAGAAAGATGGTTTGCAGCGAACTGCTTAAAACTTAATAGGGACCAAACACAAAAGATCATTCTGTCGGTAAACAATCGGTTAAATGAACACGAAGCAGTTTCTCTTCTTGGAATTAAAATTGATGATGCTCTCGAATGGGAGGCTCAGGTAGAGTCTTCATGTAAAAAGCTTTCAACGTAGTTATTCGTATTGCGACAATTAAAAAGTATCTCTACGCATGAAGGCCTTTTAACCGCATATTTTGGCATTTTTCACTCTCATCTGATCTATGGCATCATGATTTGGGAAGGATCATGTCACGTTGTGCGTGCATTCAAAATGCAAAAGCGTGCAGTGAAGATTATTTAAGGTCAATGAGCACTGCAAACCTCTCGTTCAAATGTTGTATCTACACTTTACTACACATCCATGAAAACTTTAACTGCTACACAACCCGATCAGAAATTCACAACTATAATATGAGACAGGCTAGAACACTGAGACTGCCACGTTATAGACTAGATATATCTGCCAGAAATTCATTGAACCTAATTTTTTACAATAAGCTACCTCAGACCATCCGTGAGCTGAATTATATGCAATTCAAAAAACAAATGAACTGCATCTTCATCGATGAATGTTTTTACTCAGTGGAGGAGTTTTTAGCTTTATCTTAGTTTGTGATTCATGTCTTATGTGCACTTGTCATACATATGATTTATATAATATGCGAATAAATAAATAACTAATAGCAGCTGTGCGCTTTCCGCAGTGGTCGATTCTGCTGTAATTTTTCTCTAAAAAGGATGACCTGACGAAAATCTCAAGAGATAATTTATATAAAAATAAATACCTTATTTGAAAATTATACAAATACGAGAAAAGTTGGTGGCATAAAAAGTATTTTTCTTTCACTTCTGTAGGGATTTTACAATTTTTTTTATAATTTCATTGTATAAGAGCTTTCAAAAAATGTTTACCTTGCCCTGGCCGACGATTGTTTCCAGCGGTTTCGAGGTACCGTGTATGCCGGGCAATCGAGATGACGGACTGGTTATCAAAAAGATAAACTTCTTCAATGAAGAAAAATAGTAATTCAGAAAGACTGTTTTTTCAGGTGCTCAGTTTACGCGTAAAAAGGCATAAACAGGCATGGATCGGGGTCGAAAGCAATTTGGGTCATCAAAATTTAAAGCAAATTGTGAATTAACGGGATTTGCGGCAAAGTGAAGAAACTGCTCAACTTTTATTCGTTGAGCATGACATGTTTTGCTCAAAAATGTAACCATTCAGTTTCTTGAAAAATGGACCGTTTGCAACAAGTAAACGGTTCATTAGATCGTAAAAAAACTTCGCATGGTTTTTGACGGTGCAATCAACTGTAAAATATACTCTCAATATTAGTCATTTCATGAGGATTTGAAATTTAGTCGTTGATGTTAAAAAGCAAATTGAAGCTATTCGATCCATGGCTTGATTGCAATAATTTTTTTCAAGTCTGTATAGTTGAAAAAAAAGAGAAGAAAAACAATATCTTTTCTCTGTTTTGCGTAAAACAAGTAGCGTTGAAAATTGTTTGGCATAATATCTCAAAACTAGAAACGTGGAGCTACAAAATGCTTTTTTAACACCTCGATGCGAGCATTCTTCACTGAATCACTCAAAATTCAAAAATGAAATTGACTCATTAATTTTTTCCATTGGTGTACATGTTCGTAGCTCAGAAAGACTAACTTGTGCCGACCACTGATTACACGGTTGCATAGGAACTGCCTTTCCACCTGCTTAACGCCCTAGAAATATTGCCATTGTTTTTTAACTGCCCTGTATAGTCGAATACACATTGGAAAGCATCGTCGGTACGCCTTCGTCAACTTTCACATACACAAATACACGGCACGTAAGCAGTGGCGTACGATGAGTGATGCTACTCTCTTCTATTAGGTTAATATAGTGGAGATACCAGGAATTGTGGAAGTGCGTAAGCAAGTCTCTCGGTTTTTCCCATTATAAGATCCATGTCAATGGTTCTTCGACAGAGCTGATATAATATTTCTAGTTTATGATCCTTCCAAGTTGGATGTTGGTCCTGAAACCGTTCAACCGAAAGAACACCAAGTATGTTGATTAGTTTTAATATGACAGTATCACTGTTGATTCAAAGTGAAACGAGATTTAAACTGACTTGCAAAACATTATCTGATATAGCTAAACGTTGTCGACGACAGAAATGTAGGGAAAAAGTAAAAAGTAGACTCTTAAGCTTTAATAATTTTCTACAATCAACAGGATTTCTTACAATTAGTTAAGAAGACATATTGGTTTGAAATGGTTCTTGTGTTGATATTTGAGATCGACTAATATAGTAAAGAAGTAACTACCACAAACCTAGACTAGCTCCTACTTCGAAATACAGAGGGTAGATCGGTAGATACAATATATTTATAGTTATGTTAAAAATCAAAAGAGACACATGTCCACCATCTTTCGTGGCGAAAATGGCAGTGCTGTCTTCAGAGGCTGAAATATTTCGAAATACTAAAACGGGTTAAATAAAAAAAATGTGGTAAGTATATTGACCCTGTACTTTCCAAGCATTCACATATGCCTATTGTTAAATTTTTCATGATGCAAGAATAAGCATTTTGCTAAAGAAACAAAATGTTTCAGATCTATAACGTTTTTGAACATGCCCTAACCTCAAGCAACCAGAAACGATGAAAGGAAATATTCGAAATTTTTAATAATTGTAGCTTCTACATGGAAATATTTGATTATCCTCAAAAATGTTCAGAAAGTTGTAAAGCATACAAAAACAAACTTTGGGACGATCTGAAAGCTATTTGAATTTTGACTCATAACACCGCGGCAACGATTTTCAAAATTAAGTAGCCTTACCTACTATACTACTACCCCCGCCTCAATCCCGAAAAACTTAGCTACACCTGGCTCTTCAAAAAGGGTTAAGTGTAAGAGAAAGTTATCTTTTGCCGATAATGATCCACCTCCTTCGACTAAGAATGCCTACGGCTGCCCATGGTCAATATGTGACAATTCAGATTCAATGCAAGCATTTGTTTTTTGAAAAAATCAATACTTCATATTTTACCCCCCATTTGAGCTTCGCCACTTGGGTGCCCTCCCTACAAATCTTGATATGGGGCATGGGCCCCTGAGGAGCAAGCTACACGACTCTGATACTGATTGGCGCCAAGAAAATCTGTAATCAAAAAAACGTTCCTGGTTTCTTCTAAGCTTCTGTAATTATCTACAATCACAGTAGGTATTTCGTTATCAATAAACATTGGTTCGTGAGTTGAGATCGACTACTGATACATCCCCACATCGGTAGCCTTAAGCCGTATACGTATACATTTACAGAAAAGCATAACCCCGATAACCCACTGATATAAGATATGTCCTGTCTAAGGTAAAGAAAGGTAGAAACCAGAGATTATATACCGTTATAATCCTAATTTTGTTTTGATTAAATAATCGGGGGTGGTGCCGCCCCCTTCCAAAAATTTATAGATATTAGAGCAAGCTGGGCCAATTCAATATCACAGATGCCCAGATGCCCTCATCTATACGCCTGCGAACTCTGTAGTACAATAATTAGAAATAATAAATTGACTTAATATGATAGATGATGTCTAAAACCAAGCTCATGAAGTTATTAAATTATGTGGTACCTTAAGCCATAGTGCGTAAGTGGCGCCATCCTTTAAAGTATTGCGTCACTGTTTGGCTATTCCGCATTGAGATATGAAAAGGAAGCAACAGATGGAGTGACTAGTCCTATAGACAAAGTAAGGCCTTCATAATTATGTTCATTCGGTCTGTAAAATCCGGTTTAATACGTTTTTGCAATACTATTGTAAATTCTAGGTACAAGAACGTGTCTCTGCCGCAACAGGGGTGAGCCTGTCTTCTATAAGGCGTGTAAAAAAAGAAGCGCGAAATATAAAAGAGCATGTGGCAATTTCATTCCCAAAACCAAAGAGAACAAACATCAAAACTAAGGTGGCTCTCGATGGTTTTGACCAAGGGTTGTTACGGAGAACGATCATCAACTACCATATAACAGAGAAGCGCATACCTACCTTGCGCTGTATACACAGAAAAATGCGCGATGTTGCCAATTACAAAGGGTGTAAAGAAACACTACGCAAGGAAATACACAAATTGGGATTCAGGTGGAAGAAATTTGAATCCAATAGAAAACTATTAATAGAATAGGCAGAGATTCGATATTTACGGATTGTTGAAAATGGAGAAATATAAAAAAGAAGGACGCCCAGTAATATATATTGACGAAACGTATATACATTCTTCGTATACACATACCAAAAGCTCAGTAGATAACTCCACAGACGGCACTAAGAAACCAATATCAAAGGGAGAAAGGCTGATCAAACTCAATGCTGGCGGTGAAAATGGATTTATACCCAATGCATACGTAAGATGGAAATCTACATGAAGCACAGGAGATTTTCATAATGAAATTAATTTTGATAATTATAAAAAGTGGCTAAAAGAAAAACTAATTCCAAATGTACCTCCCAGAAATGTGGTTGTTATAGATAATGCGCCGTACCACAATAAACAGATAGACAAAAGTCTAACATCTTCAACCGCTAAAGCTGAAATGAAGATCTGGCTTCGTGACAGGAATATTTTTTTTACAGATGAAATGCTTAAACCAGAACTTTACAATTTGATTAAATTGCATAAGCCAGCTTATAAAAAAATTGCCATAGATCAAATTCTTCATGATGCTGGCCACGATGTTCTAAGACTTCCACCCTAGCACCTCGATTTAAATCCAATAGAACTCGTGTGGGCAACAATGAAGTCTTACGTAGCAGCCAGAAATGTCGATTTCAAGTTTTCTACCGTTTCAAAATGGTGCGACGCGTTTTTCAATAACTTTACGCCCGAAGAATGGAAAACTAGGTGCGAGCATGCAAAAATAATTGAGATAGAGTTTATGCAGCAAGAGCCCGCTTTTGATAGAGTTGTAGACGAAGTTGTTATCCATTTAAATGAAGTTGACAGCGATAGCCACTTTCTCGAGACCGAAACTGAAGATGAAGATGCCGAAGAACGGACCGATGAAGCAGAAGGGGACTCTAGCGGAATTTTGGATGTACAGTCTGGCAAAGTCAGTTTAAGCTGTGAAAAACCGGTTGCACCGTAAACATCACGTCACAGCTCAAGCTGAATTTGACAAATTGTGTAAATGTTTAGCAAGATTAGCATAAACTATTCATACACTTTTATAGTCTTTGATTAAAAAAAATATAGATAATTTACAAAGTTTTAGGCAAATGAATTGGTTTCGACTGCTTCTAAAACTGCAGTGAAAGGAAGTGAAAAACAAGCTTCCAACCTTCTTTCATCATAGGAAATCAAATAACAGTCGTTTGCCTACTGTGAAAAAACTTGGCGCGTCGACTGTACTTCTACATTCCTTGGCTATTATTGTTTCTCTCAGATATAGCGCTCTCTCACTCCAATTTCATTGTATAAGAGCTTTCAAAAAATGTTTACCTTGCCCTGGCCGACGATTGTTTCCAGCGGTTTCGAGGTACCGTGTATGCCGGGCAATCGAGATGACGGACTGGTTATCAAAAAGATAAACTTCTTCAATGAAGAAAAATAGTAATTCAGAAAGACTGTTTTTTCAGGTGCTCAGTTTACGCGTAAAAAGGCATAAACAGGCATGGATCGGGGTCGAAAGCAATTTGGGTCATCAAAATTTAAATCAAATTGTGAATTAACGGGATTTGCGGCAAAGTGAAGAAACTGCTCAACTTTTATTCGTTGAGCATGACATGTTTTGCTCAAAAATGTAACCATTCAATTTCTTGAAAAATGGACCGTTTGCAACAAGTAAACGGTTCATTAGATCGTAAAAAAACTTCGCATGGTTTTTGACGGTGCAATCAACTGTAAAATATACTCTCAATAGTCATTTCATGAGGATTTGAAATTTAGTCGTTGATGTTAAAAAGCAAATTGAAGCTATTCGATCCATGGCTTGATTGCAATAATTTTTTTCAAGTCCGTATAGTTGAAAAAAAAGAGAAGAAAAACAATATCTTTTCTCTGTTTTGCGTAAAACAAGTAGCGTTGAAAATTGTTTGGCATAATATCTCAAAACTAGAAACGTGGAGCTACAAAATGCTTTTTTAACACCTCGATGCGAGCATTCTTCACTGAATCACTAAAAATTCAAAAATGAAATTGACTCATTAATTTTTTCCATTGGTGTACATGTTCGTAGCTCAGAAAGACTAACTTGTGCCGACCACTGATTACACGGTTGCATAGGAACTGCCTTTCCACCTGCTTAACGCCCTAGAAATATTGCCATTGTTTTTTAACTGCCCTGTATAGTCGAATACACATTGGAAAGCATCGTCGGTACGCCTTCGTCAACTTTCACATACACAAATACACGGCACGTAAGCAGTGGCGTACGATGAGTGATGCTACTCTCTTCTATTAGGTTAATATAGTGGAGATACCAGGAATTGTGGAAGTGCGTAAGCAAGTCTCTCGGTTTTTCCCATTATAAGATCCATGTCAATGGTTCTTCGACAGAGCTGATATAATATTTCTAGTTTATGATCCTTCCAAGTTGGATGTTGGTCCTGAAACCGTTCAACCGAAAGAACACCAAGTATGTTGATTAGTTTTAATATGACAGTATCACTGTTGATTCAAAGTGAAACGAGATTTAAACTGACTTGCAAAACATTATCTGATATAGCTAAACGTTGTCGACGAGAGAAATGTAGGGAAAAAGTAAAAAGTAGACTCTTAAGCTTTAATAATTTTCTACAATCAACAGGATTTCTTACAATTAGTTAAGAAGACATATTGGTTTGAAATGGTTCTTGTGTTGATATTTGAGATCGACTAATATAGTAAAGAAGTAACTAACACAAACCTAGACTAGCTCCTACTTCGAAATACAGAGGGTAGATCGGTAGATACAATATATTTATAGTTATGTTAAAAAATCAAAAGAGACACATGTCCACCATCTTTCGTGGCGAAAATGGCAGTGCTGTGTTCAGAGGCTGAAATATTTCGAAATACTAAAACGGGTTAAATAAAAAAAATGTGGTAAGTATATTGACCCTGTACTTTCCAAGCATTCACATATGCCTATTGTTAAATTTTTCATGATGTAAGAATAAGCATTTTGCTAAAGAAACAAAATGTTTCAGATCTATAACGTTTTTGAACATGCCCTAACCTCAAGCAATCAGAAACGATGAAAGGAAATATTCGAAATTTTTAATAATTGTAGCTTCTACATGGAAATATTTTATTATCCTCAAAAATGTTCAGAAAGTTGTAAAGCATACAAAAACAAACTTTGGGACGATCTGAAAGCTATTTGAATTTTTACTCATAACACCGCGGCAACGATTTTCAAAATTAAGTAGCCTTACCTACTATACTACTACCCCCGCCTCAATCCCGAAAAACTTAGCTACACCTGGCTCTTCAAAAAGGGTTAAGTGTAAGAGAAAGTTATCTTTTGCCGATAATGATCCACCTCCTTCGACTAAGAATGCCTACGGCTGCCCATGGTCAATATGTGACAATTCAGATTCAATGCAAGCATTTGTTTTTTGAAAAAATCAATACTTCATATTTTACCCCCCATTTGAGCTTCGCCACTTGGGTGCCCTCCCTACAAATCTTGATATGGGGCATGGGCCCCTGAGGAGCAAGCTACACGACTCTGATACTGATTGGCGCCAAGAAAATCTGAAATCAAAAAAACGTTCCTGGTTTCTTCTAAGCTTCTGTAATTATCTACAATCACAGTAGGTATTTCGTTATCAATAAACATTGGTTCGTGAGTTGAGATCGACTACTGATACATCCCCACATCGGTAGCCTTAAGCCGTATACGTATACATTTACAGAAAAGCATAACCCCGATAACCCACTGATATAAGATATGTCCTGTCTAAGGTAAAGAAAGGTAGAAACCAGAGATTATATATATACCGTTATAATCCTAATTTTGTTTTGATTAAATAATCGGGGGTGGTGCCGCCCCCTTCCAAAAATTTATAGATATTAGAGCAAGCTGGGCCAATTCAATATCACAGATGCCCAGATGCCCTCATCTATACGCCTGCGAACTCTGTAGTACAATAATTAGAAATAATAAATTGACTTAATATGATAGATGATGTCTAAAACCAAGCTCATGAAGTTATTAAATTATGTGGTACCTTAAGCCATAGTGCGTAAGTGGCGCCATCCTTTAAAGTATTGCGTCACTGTTTGGCTATTCCGCATTGAGATATGAAAAGGAAGCAACAGATGGAGTGACTAGTCCTATAGACAAAGTAAGGCCTTCATAATTATGTTCATTCGGTCTGTAAAATCCGGTTTAATACGTTTTTGCAATACTATTGTAAATTCTAGGTACAAGAACGTGTCTCTGCCGCAACAGGGGTGAGCCTGTCTTCTATAAGGCGTGTAAAAAAAGAAGCGCGAAATATAAAAGAGCATGTGGCAATTTCATTCCCAAAACCAAAGAGAACAAACATCAAAACTAAGGTGGCTCTCGATGGTTTTGACCAAGGGTTGTTACGGAGAACGATCATCAACTACCATATAACAGAGAAGCGCATACCTACCTTGCGCTGTATACACAGAAAAATGCGCGATGTTGCCAATTACAAAGGGTGTAAAGAAACACTACGCAAGGAAATACACAAATTGGGATTCAGGTGGAAGAAATTTGAATCCAATAGAAAACTATTAATAGAATAGGCAGAGATTCGATATTTACGGATTGTTGAAAATGGAGAAATATAAAAAAGAAGGACGCCCAGTAATATATATTGACGAAACGTATATACATTCTTCATATACACATACCAAAAGCTCAGTAGATAACTCCACAGACGGCACTAAGAAACCAATATCAAAGGGAGAAAGGCTGATCAAACTCAATGCTGGCGGTGAAAATGGATTTATACCCAATGCATACGTAAGATGGAAATCTACATGAAGCACAGGAGATTTTCATAATGAAATTAATTTTGATAATTATAAAAAGTGGCTAAAAGAAAAACTAATTCCAAATGTACCTCCCAGAAATGTGGTTGTTATAGATAATGCGCCGTACCACAATAAACAGATAGACAAAAGTCTAACATCTTCAACCGCTAAAGCTGAAATGAAGATCTGGCTTCGTGACAGGAATATTTTTTTTACAGATGAAATGCTTAAACCAGAACTTTACAATTTGATTAAATTGCATAAGCCAGCTTATAAAAAAATTGCCATAGATCAAATTCTTCATGATACTGGCCACGATGTTCTAAGACTTCCACCCTAGCACCTCGATTTAAATCCAATAGAACTCGTGTGGGCAACAATGAAGTCTTACGTAGCAGCCAGAAATGTCGATTTCAAGTTTTCTACCGTTTCAAAATGGTGCGACGCGTTTTTCAATAACTTTACGCCCGAAGAATGGAAAACTAGGTGCGAGCATGCAAAAATAATTGAGATAGAGTTTATGCAGCAAGAGCCCGCTTTTGATAGAGTTGTAGACGAAGTTGTTATCCATTTAAATGAAGTTGACAGCGATAGCCACTTTCTCGAGACCGAAACTGAAGATGAAGATGCCGAAGAACGGACCGATGAAGCAGAAGGGGACTCTAGCGGAATTTTGGATGTACAGTCTGGCAAAGTCAGTTTAAGCTGTGAAAAACCGGTTGCACCGTAAACATCACGTCACAGCTCAAGCTGAATTTGACAAATTGTGTAAATGTTTAGCAAGATTAGCATAAACTATTCATACACTTTTATAGTCTTTGATTAAAAAAAATATAGATAATTTACAAAGTTTTAGGCAAATGAATTGGTTTCGACTGCTTCTAAAACTGCAGTGAAAGGAAGTGAAAAACAAGCTTCCAACCTTCTTTCATCATAGGAAATCAAATAACAGTCGTTTGCCTACTGTGAAAAAACTTGGCGCGTCGACTGTACTTCTACATTCCTTGGCTATTATTGTTTCTCTCAGATATAGCGCTCTCTCACTCCAATTTCATTGTATAAGAGCTTTCAAAAAATGTTTACCTTGCCCTGGCCGACGATTGTTTCCAGCGGTTTCGAGGTACCGTGTATGCCGGGCAATCGAGATGACGGACTGGTTATCAAAAAGATAAACTTCTTCAATGAAGAAAAATAGTAATTCAGAAAGACTGTTTTTTCAGGTGCTCAGTTTACGCGTAAAAAGGCATAAACAGGCATGGATCGGGGTCGAAAGCAATTTGGGTCATCAAAATTTAAATCAAATTGTGAATGAACGGGATTTGCGGCAAAGTGAAGAAACTGCTCAACTTTTATTCGTTGAGCATGACATGTTTTGCTCAAAAATGTAACCATTCAATTTCTTGAAAAATGGACCGTTTGCAACAAGTAAACGGTTCATTAGATCGTAAAAAAACTTCGCATGGTTTTTGACGGTGCAATCAACTGTAAAATATACTCTCAATATTAGTCATTTCATGAGGATTTGAAATTTAGTCGTTGATGTTAAAAAGCAAATTGAAGCTATTCGATCCATGGCTTGATTGCAATAATTTTTTTCAAGTCCGTATAGTTGAAAAAAAAGAGAAGAAAAACAATATCTTTTCTCTGTTTTGCGTAAAACAAGTAGCGTTGAAAATTGTTTGGCATAATATCTCAAAACTAGAAACGTGGAGCTACAAAATGCTTTTTTAACACCTCGATGCGAGCATTCTTCACTGAATCACTAAAAATTCAAAAATGAAATTGACTCATTAATTTTTTCCATTGGTGTACATGTTCGTAGCTCAGAAAGACTAACTTGTGCCGACCACTGATTACACGGTTGCATAGGAACTGCCTTTCCACCTGCTTAACGCCCTAGAAATATTGCCATTGTTTTTTAACTGCCCTGTATAGTCGAATACACATTGGAAAGCATCGTCGGTACGCCTTCGTCAACTTTCACATACACAAATACACGGCACGTAAGCAGTGGCGTACGATGAGTGATGCTACTCTCTTCTATTAGGTTAATATAGTGGAGATACCAGGAATTGTGGAAGTGCGTAAGCAAGTCTCTCGGTTTTTCCCATTATAAGATCCATGTCAATGGTTCTTCGACAGAGCTGATATAATATTTCTAGTTTATGATCCTTCCAAGTTGGATGTTGGTCCTGAAACCGTTCAACCAAAAGAACACCAAGTATGTTGATTAGTTTTAATATGACAGTATCACTGTTGATTCAAAGTGAAACGAGATTTAAACTGACTTGCAAAACATTATCTGATATAGCTAAACGTTGTCGACGAGAGAAATGTAGGGAAAAAGTAAAAAGTAGACTCTTAAGCTTTAATAATTTTCTACAATCAACGGGATTTCTTACAATTAGTTAAGAAGACATATTGGTTTGAAATGGTTCTTGTGTTGATATTTGAGATCGACTAATATAGTAAAGAAGTAACTACCACAAACCTAGACTAGCTCCTACTTCGAAATACAGAGGGTAGATCGGTAGATACAATATATTTATAGTTATGTTAAAAAATCAAAAGAGACACATGTCCACCATCTTTCGTGGCGAAAATGGCAGTGCTGTCTTCAGAGGCTGAAATATTTCGAAATACTAAAACGGGTTAAATAAAAAAAAATGTGGTAAGTATATTGACCCTGTACTTTCCAAGCATTCACATATGCCTATTGTTAAATTTTTCATGATGTAAGAATAAGCATTTTGCTAAAGAAACAAAATGTTTCAGATCTATAACGTTTTTGAACATGCCCTAACCTCAAGCAATCAGAAACGATGAAAGGAAATATTCGAAATTTTTAATAATTGTAGCTTCTACATGGAAATATTTGATTATCCTCAAAAATGTTCAGAAAGTTGTAAAGCATACAAAAACAAACTTTGGGACGATCTGAAAGCTATTTGAATTTTTACTCATAACACCGCGGCAACGATTTTCAAAATTAAGTAGCCTTACCTACTATACTACTACCCCCGCCTCAATCCCGAAAAACTTAGCTACACCTGGCTCTTCAAAAAGGGTTAAGTGTAAGAGAAAGTTATCTTTTGCCGATAATGATCCACCTCCTTCGACTAAGAATGCCTACGGCTGCCCATGGTCAATATGTGACAATTCAGATTCAATGCAAGCATTTGTTTTTTGAAAAAATCAATACTTCATATTTTACCCCCCATTTGAGCTTCGCCACTTGGGTGCCCTCCCTACAAATCTTGATATGGGGCATGGGCCCCTGAGGAGCAAGCTACACGACTCTGATACTGATTGGCGCCAAGAAAATCTGAAATCAAAAAAACGTTCCTGGTTTCTTCTAAGCTTCTGTAATTATCTACAATCACAGTAGGTATTTCGTTATCAATAAACGTTGGTTCGTGAGTTGAGATCGACTACTGATACATCCCCACATCGGTAGCCTTAAGCCGTATACGTATACATTTACAGAAAAGCATAACCCCGATAACCCACTGATATAAGATATGTCCTGTCTAAGGTAAAGAAAGGTAGAAACCAGAGATTATATACCGTTATAATCCTAATTTTGTTTTGATTAAATAATCGGGGGTGGTGCCGCCCCCTTCCAAAAATTTATAGATATTAGAGCAAGCTGGGCCAATTCAATATCACAGATGCCCAGATGCCCTCATCTATACGCCTGCGAACTCTGTAGTACAATAATTAGAAATAATAAATTGACTTAATATGATAGATGATGTCTAAAACCAAGCTCATGAAGTTATTAAATTATGTGGTACCTTAAGCCATAGTGCGTAAGTGGCGCCATCCTTTAAAGTATTGCGTCACTGTTTGGCTATTCCGCATTGAGATATGAAAAGGAAGCAACAGATGGAGTGACTAGTCCTATAGACAAAGTAAGGCCTTCATAATTATGTTCATTCGGTCTGTAAAATCCGGTTTAATACGTTTTTGCAATACTATTGTAAATTCTAGGTACAAGAACGTGTCTCTGCCGCAACAGGGGTGAGCCTGTCTTCTATAAGGCGTGTAAAAAAAGAAGCGCGAAATATAAAAGAGCATGTGGCAATTTCATTCCCAAAACCAAAGAGAACAAACATCAAAACTAAGGTGGCTCTCGATGGTTTTGACCAAGGGTTGTTACGGAGAACGATCATCAACTACCATATAACAGAGAAGCGCATACGCTGTATACACAGAAAAATGCGCGATGTTGCCAATTACAAAGGGTGTAAAGAAACACTACGCAAGGAAATACACAAATTGGGATTCAGGTGGAAGAAATTTGAATCCAATAGAAAACTATTAATAGAATAGGCAGAGATTCGATATTTACGGATTGTTGAAAATGGAGAAATATAAAAAAGAAGGACGCCCAGTAATATATATTGACGAAACGTGTATACATTCTTCGTATACACATACCAAAAGCTCAGTAGATAACTCCACAGACGGCACTAAGAAACCAATATCAAAGGGAGAAAGGCTGATCAAACTCAATGCTGGCGGTGAAAATGGATTTATACCCAATGCATACGTAAGATGGAAATCTACATGAAGCACAGGAGATTTTCATAATGAAATGAATTTTGATAATTATAAAAAGTGGCTAAAAGAAAAACTAATTCCAAATGTACCTCCCAGAAATGTGGTTGTTATAGATAATGCGCCGTACCACAATAAACAGATAGACAAAAGTCTAACATCTTCAACCGCTAAAGCTGAAATGAAGATCTGGCTTCGTGACAGGAATATTTTTTTTACAGATGAAATGCTTAAACCAGAACTTTACAATTTGATTAAATTGCATAAGCCAGCTTATAAAAAAATTGCCATAGATCAAATTCTTCATGATGCTGGCCACGATGTTCTAAGACTTCCACCCTAGCACCTCGATTTAAATCCAATAGAACTCGTGTGGGCAACAATGAAGTCTTACGTAGCAGCCAGAAATGTCGATTTCAAGTTTTCTACCGTTTCAAAATGGTGCGACGCGTTTTTCAATAACTTTACGCCCGAAGAATGGAAAACTAGGTGCGAGCATGCAAAAATAATTGAGATAGAGTTTATGCAGCAAGAGCCCGCTTTTGATAGAGTTGTAGACGAAGTTGTTATCCATTTAAATGAAGTTGACAGCGATAGCCACTTTCTCGAGACCGAAACTGAAGATGAAGATGCCGAAGAACGGACCGATGAAGCAGAAGGGGACTCTAGCGGAATTTTGGATGTACAGTCTGGCAAAGTCAGTTTAAGCTGTGAAAAACCGGTTGCACCGTAAACATCACGTCACAGCTCAAGCTGAATTTGACAAATTGTGTAAATGTTTAGCAAGAGTAGCATAAACTATTCATACACTTTTATAGTCTTTGATTAAAAAAAATATAGATAATTTACAAAGTTTTAGGCAAATGAATTGGTTTCGACTGCTTCTAAAACTGCAGTGAAAGGAAGTGAAAAACAAGCTTCCAACCTTCTTTCATCATAGGAAATCAAATAACAGTCGTTTGCCTACTGTGAAAAAACTTGGCGCGTCGACTGTACTTCTACATTCCTTGGCTATTATTGTTTCTCTCAGATATAGCGCTCTCTCACTCCGTCGTTTGCGCATCTCTAGCTACTCTACTACTAATTTTTTATTTTATAACCAGCGCCACCTAGATTGCAGGAGAAATACAACATCATTTATTGCTGGTACCTTTGCGTACGCAGTAATTTGGGCTGATTATTACTATTTCGAAATAGAGAGGGCAGATCGGTAGATTATGATATAGTTTTAATTTTTAATCGAATTCTAAATAGTATGTGTACCATCAAACGATCAAGGGAAATGTTAGAAAATTATGAAAATAGGATACGTTACTAACACTAGTAAAAATGACAGTGTCACATATTCACTTTAAAGATTCGAAAAGAAGCGGCAGCAGACAGTGTCATTTCATGGTAAATTTAAATGGTACTACTATAATTGAAATATTTGATTCTGGTCCTGTAGTTCAGACCTCATTCTATAAACACTACTCACTACTCAGAGTAGTTGATTTGCACCGTAGCGACGTGCTTTTCAAAACTGTAGCGCAAATCCCGTCTTGTCCATAGGGCCTGCCACACACATTCGCCTCAATTCACTGTTCCACACACACTATCTTAGCTCAGAGTACGTTGTATTTCTTTGTTGCATAACACAATTTATTGTTTCAGTAGCTTATCTATATATAGGTGAAAAATTAAAGCTTCCGCCTTTTGTCGGGTACTTCGACAAAATTTAGGCAAGGAGGACTCTTTATACTTTTTTTATTCTCTCTAGCTTTCAATGGTCTTTGCCATCATCATCAGGAGAGTAGTATGTGAGGATGTTGCTAATTGTTGTTTACGTTAAGGATGAGGAAAACACCCAGTAACATGGTGAAAGCTGGATAAATGGTACAATGGTCAAAATTATATAAAATACACACAGCTGTATGACAAGAACAAGTTAAAAAAGATTAACAAATTTTTAGAAAATTAAAGTTAAGCATTACATCGTGAAGCCACTTGATGATTGCGATCATTGAAAGCTAGAGAGAATAAAAAAAGTATAAAGAGTCCTCCTTGCTTAAATTTTGTCGAAGTACCCAACAAAAGGCGGAAGCTTTAATTTTTCACCTAACTGGTCTAGACGACAATGACCATGTCTCAAGTTATATATATATAACAACAAGTAGGAAAATAATGGGCATTATCCGCAAAAAGGAGGAAAGTGGATTCGAGCAGAAAATAGGATAGGTAACCCGAGCGATACGTATTTCTGCTGGTTGGCTTCATCAGGCCCGAAATGAATGCACATATGAAACTACAAAAGTAGATACACATGCCCACACATCCGGATACGGGTGTAACCTGAGGAAACGAAGTTGGAGGGGGAAAAAAAAGTCCACGACAAGAGCCAACCTACACATTGTAGTATAAAATGGCTATACGACCTCGAATTTTCAAGGAAACGTCTAACCACAACCACGCGGCCGGTTATAGCCACTTGCTGTGGTACTTCAAGCCCAAAGGATCTACAAAGAGAATATATATCGTATAGCCATTTTATACTACAATGTGTAGGTTGGCTCTTGTTGTGGACTTCGTGTGTCGTTTTTCCCCCTCCAACTTCGTTTCCTCAGGTTACACCTGTATCCGGATGTGTGGGCATGTGTATCTACTTTTGTAGTTTCATATGTGCATTCATTTCGGGCCTGATGAAGCCAACCAGCAGAAATACGTATCGCTCGGGTTACCTATCCTATTTTCTGCTCGAATCCACTTTCCTCATTTTTGCGGATTTTGCCCATTATTTTCCTACTTGTTGTTATATACCTTTCTCCGCATGATCATATTCTCTCTCTCTCTCTCTCTCTATATATAACCAGCATTAGAGAGGTTTCTAATCTGCCTCCGAAATAGACGCTGGAACTCGGTGGCTGGAACTGGAGTTAGTTTTTGGAATAGATATCAAATTGGAACTTCATCGAGTCATTTCAGGTACACGTAAAAGCTGTACAGTAACACCCCTACTTTGACTAAATTTTACGTAGGGCTGAAAGAGCCTGTTAGATCCTGCACCGCGCACGTGCAGTTCGAATATTGCAGATAACATGTGAATTCTTGCAATGGGGCTTCTAAATGGTTGTTTCATGTTTACTATTACTAGAACCTCGATTCTAATGTTCAAGATTCATTATTATATTTTATATTGATAAATGCCCTTTCTGATTCGTCGTAGCGCCTGGGTAGTCGCCCGTGTTGCTCTGCCCTGAGACCGGCCCTGTTAAGTACAAGATGGTACTTCTGCGTAGTACACATCTATCAGCGTTGATTTGGGGACATTTGGCTTTAATTTCGATATCGCATAGTAGGACCTATTGATTTTCCTGCATACACTGTCAACTTGTTGCTTTCAATTTAATCCTGCATCCAACTCAATGCCCAGGAAGGTCGTAGAGTCTGAGATAGTACTGTTAATGAGACGTGGAGTACTAGAGTAAAAGTGAACAACTACCGTCTTGTCAGCATTCAAGATCAGACGATTTGTTTGGCACCACTCTTCCATCTCAGATTTTATGATTCCAATGTTAAGGTACAGATCTTCAGGCGAATCTGCAGTTACTACAGCCGATCGTTTACAGATCGTTTATAAATAAGATGAAAAGAAGTGGTGCCAATACAGATCCCTGAGCTGCACCTACATTTATTTTATAGGTAGCTGACTGCGCATCGTTCACTCTTACTCTAAGTTCTCTGTCTGTCAGGAAAGACACTAGCCAGTCCAGCAAGAAGTCTCTAATACCTATATTGAAAAGTTTCTCCCTTAGCAAATCTACATTAATGATATCAAACGCTTTGGACAAGTCGAAAAATACTCCAGCAACTAGATGACCCAAGTCTATTGCTCGGTATATGTGGTTAATAAACTCAAAAGAGGCTGTCTCAATCGAGCGTGATTTCCTGAACCCGTGTTGGTTATTGGAGATGATGTTGTATTTTTCAGTAAAGCTAGCTATGCGCGCGTGTAGCACTTTCTCAAATATCTTTGAAAAAACTGACAGAAGAGATATTTTACGATAGTTTTCGACTTGAGAGGGATCTCCCTTCTTCAATATAGGTACCACAATGGCCAATTTAAGATTTTTAGGAAATTCACCTTGATGCACCGACATGTTTATGAGCACAGCTAGTGGACCTGCAATTTGATGACACACACTTTTAACTATTCTTGTTGACATACCGTCACGTCCACACGACTTATTATTTCGAAGGTTGCTTATCACATTGGTCACTTCATCTTCGGTAGTGTCGCTGTAGAACATTGGCCGACCTAGTGAGGTTGTGGGCTGTCCTCCAAAGTGTACATGGAGCTTCTTCTCTGCTACTGTAGAAAAATACCTAACAAATGCGTCGGATGTACCTTCGCTTCGCAGATCTCCAACGGATTCTATATTTAAGATTATTGGATTGGTACAGCTTCTTCGTCCTAGTTCTTTGTTTACAATTTCCCATACCTTCTTCGATTTATTTTCTGCATTTTCAATTAGATGTTCATGATATCGTTTTTTAGTAGTTGTTAGTAGTTTTCTGTGTTTACTTTTTCTTTGTAGGTAATGTTGTCTTAGTTCGGAGTTATCTTTGTTATTTTGCAGGAGGGTGTGTATTTCCCACAAATTTTTACTGGAGGATCTTATTTCCTCCGTTATCCAGGCGTGGGTGTGTGAGTTCTGCTTAAAAATCGCTACTCTTTCTGGACACGCGGTATTAAAATGCCATAAGAAAGTATTGATGAAGTTTTCAAACGCCGTGTCTAGGTCTTCATCTTCAACTATCGACCAGTGTTCTTGAGACAGGTTGTCTTTAAGGTTCTCAAGGTTTTCACTTTTTAGTGGCGATGAAAGCCCAAAGAAGAAATCTAGAATTGAAATTTTCATCTCAAATAAAGTCAGGCAAAACCAAATTGATTTTGGAAGATCTGGTATGCGAAACAAATGATAATTTACTCTTTACCTGGGGAATTTTGTTTTCAATGAATTAACTAAGGTTTTGCAATATCAGTGTGAAAAATATTATACATGCTGGCAATCAGAATCAAAAACTGTTTACCAACTTTCTGATGTTTTTGAATAAACCTAACCTCACTTATGCTATTCTATACATTGTCTTCATCATTATATACGCAATGTATACAATTAATGTATACGTGTAAACGCCTATCACTGGTTATTCATTACAAATAATAGACGTAATCTTCACGTCCAGCGAGTAACGTCTTATTGACGTCTGCCATATGTCGTCATCGGTATGTGACATTAGGACGTCATTTTCACGTTACTTTAATGTCATTCAACTCGTGACTTCTCGTCATTTTAGGACCAGTTTGTAACGTCATTTTCGCGTGCTTATTCTATTTGGGTTGTTTCGCTTATTAATAGTGCTTCAGACGGTACACCTGCTGATGATATACCTGTTTCAGGTGCGTGTACGAAACCACGCTAAAATGGTAGACTGTTACGTTACGGTATACTACAGTCACAAGTCTGTCTTTGGCAACCGCATGCAAGTTGCACAAGAAATCGTAGTACATCCTCAAAACTACCACATATACGAAGGTCCTATCAACAGTGACAAACATATCTCCATATTTATGACTTGCCAGATCCTGATGTTTACAGAGACTTCTTCAGACTGAATCCTTTGTACGAGTTCCAACAGCTATCAGCGACATGCACTTACTTCACAGGTTGCCCAATAAATAGGATGCGTGTTGCTATCGCATACGATCTCCCAGAGATGGTCGTTAATCACAAGAAGCTGGTAGAAAATTATTTGACGAAAGCAGAAAATGATATTCCACTTCCGGCCAGAGTAACTGAGCGAGATCGAAAATCAACCACACGCGATAAAATTTCCCAAAGTGAGGATAAGTCGACTTATCCCATATATTTTATGCTCTTTCAAGCAACATTTTGATGTATATCATAAGCCCACGACTTGTTTCAGTTGGCTCTAAATTTTGGGATAACCGTCCAGAGTAACACAAGACTTCTAGAAAACTCATTCGGCGTCCCTCAGTTCCAACTCTCGACCCCATAGTTTCACTTGTTTCATGTTTCATCCTAATCTCGAACTGATATGTAAGTGCCATTAAAAGACATTAATAAACGAATCAGTCATATTATGCTTCATAGACTTGCCATGTGTTATCGCATTTATAAAGTTCTTGCAACCGGACTGTTCATATCAGTAAATCATTTTCAAAGAGAAGTACATTATAAGCCTGTGCTGTTCACACCAGATGTACAATTCCTTAAAATTGATATAAATGTTTTATTTTGTTATGTGTATACTGTGAATTTGTGTAACCTAGTTATTTTTGTTCCACTATGTGGTAAATTGTAGTTGCTACAAGGAGACATACATACAGGGTGTCCGCAAAGTTGGGGTTTTCCTTTTCAGAAACAACTACCCTTGAAATAACAAAGGTAATGTGTAGTGAAACGAGGGCGACCAAGTAAAACAAAATAAAGAAAAAAGTACTCACTCTCCGGTTGACGAGAAGGGCTAAGTACGTTTCTGCCCGAAATCATACCGCGAAAATGAAATCAGCTGATGCGCTACCGAGCAGACGCAGGCAAACAAGGAAGGCAAAATGTTGCGTAAAAAGTCTAGGTATTGCATCCCGTCCAATCGATTTGGGAGAATAAATGGTCCAATGAGCATACCATTCACCATGCCAGCCCAAACATTCACCGAAAATGTTTGTTGAAAATGTGCCCGACGGACAGCGTGCGGATTTTCTACTGACCAAACATGAGTGTTACGAAAGTTATTCACCCCATTACGCGTGAACGTAGATTCGTCTGTCACCAATATGCACTTCAAAAAGTCCGGATTATTGTCATGTTGATGCAACAACCACTCATAAAACCGCACTCTTGCTGGAAAATCGTCAGGTTGAAGGGCTTGTACACGTTGGACGTGAAACGGATACAGCCCCTCTTCACGCAGCGTTTGCCACACTTTAGTTTTTGATACTTGCACTTCTCTAGCCGCGTCTCTAGTGCTTGTTGAGGGATTCTCGTCTACGCGATTACCTCTGCACGCGTGACCGTAACCGTCGGTTGAAGGTTGCATACTGACCTGACACACTGACCCCGACCCAGTTCTGTCGTCGGATTGAGCTAGTGTCCTAGTACCACTCGGGGATGTCGCGGCTACAGGACCGTATTCAGATATTTTTGATGTTGCAGAGCCCTTTATCTCGGTTCCCTTAAGACATTGGTGTATATGGTACTAATAAAAATTGCTTATGTTTTCAAGATCTACACGTCGTGTAAAGGAAAACCCCACCTTTGCGGACACCCTGTATAGTTTGTAAATAAATACGTTTGTATTTGTAACCCTCGACTCTCAATTCCCTTTGATTTATTTATATAATATATCTAGCGAATAATCGCATAACGTGATATACGACGGTTGTCTCAAAAATAAGGTTCCCACTTTTTTTTCAGGCACAAGGAATTTTTAATTAAAAAAACATTTAGCATTTGAAACATTTATCTCTAAGCTATTTTTCACATAGTAGTCTTTTTTCCTACGCATTTTTTTAGACGAGGAATCCACTTTTTCACTCCCGCCTCCCGCTTGGAAACCTGGTAACTGCTCCTTGCAGCTCCTCGTCTGCCTCGAACCGTTGATCGCCCTGTTGCTGCTTCAATTTCGAAAATGCAATGTTAGGGCTGTAAGGTTGATGGGCAATCATTTCCCAGCCAAATCGCTCGATTTTGTCTTTCGTTTGTTGTGACGTGAGGATGCGCATTGTCGTGGTGCTGTCTTACGCTTTACGAAATTTTGGATTGCTCGTCTCAGCTTCCTCAGAAGCCTCAGGAAGTTCAAACGCCTGTTCCCGGATCTTGATTCGCAGATCTTCGAGTAAGATTTGCTCAATCTTCGCCATAACTTCCTCGGAGATCGACGGCCTCCCGCTTCGCTGTTCATCGTGGAGGTCAAAGAACTCTCTTCACCAAGGGCTCCATCCTCCAGTGCGCATGACTGTCAGGCCAGTACTGAGCATCGCCAATAGGCGCTTCTTGTTGGGATCGGCGGTGAGGATCCGACAAATACCACGATGTTGCCAGATTTCACCTGGTATCACGCGCGAAAAAGTTACAGCGTTGGGAACCTTATTTTTTAAACAACCCTCGTATCATTGTTTGCACAACGTAACCAAGTTTTTCTGAAATTATTTATTTTTCGTGCACTATTCTTAACATAATTTTGGAATCTATTATTAGTCTAAACATGATGCTTTCGTCCGTCAGACGAAAAAGAAAGCCAGCCATGGGCGGCTGTTTGGTCCGCCATGCTGATGAGTAGCCAAGAAGCACGAAACAGCTGTCCATGGTTGGATATGTTCTTGGTCAGACGGACGAAAGCAACATGTTTAGTTTATTCAATGGCAAGTAGACCACATCTACTTTGCAGCCAGAATCGCCAGCCATCTAGCGGTCACGTGGTGCCTGGAAACGTGAACTGAGATCGCTAACAGTACCAACTAATAGCAGCTATCCGCTTCTCGCAGTGGTGCATTCTGCTGTGATAGATGGTGCTTTGCGGTATCTTATCTCGTACTATTGTTAGGTTTCTTGATCTTCTCGAGTATGCCACTATTGTAGATATATTAAGGTTACTACTACAATAGAAAGCACCTGAGCAAGATTATTATTGGTCTTAACTGTCCCAAACGGTGACATCACAAAGCGCCAGTTTGTGACGTCATCACTTGATACCTGTTGAAAATGAAAAAGTCAAAGCCAAACACGACCGGTTATGCTGATGGATGGGAATAGAAATATACTAAGTGACATATAAATCCGAACACCCAGTTTAGATGGTTTTATTTTAATAAAATTTTGAATAAGTACTTAATGAAGCATAATAAGTAAATGATAAAAATTTCAAAATGATTGCACTGCTTTAAAGCCCTTTGACCTTTAATAATGTGTGGATGCACCCTGATGTGCTACGCATTCTCCAACGCGCCTAGGCATGCTTCTGATCAGGTGGTCAATGTCCTCCTGTGGTATCTCATTCCAGGCAACCACTAACTCCTCTCGAAGTACTTCTAGAGTCTGAGGACGTTGCAAATTGAGCAATCTCCTACCCATCATATCCCACACGTGCTCAATTGGGGATAAGTCGGGAGATCTTGGTGGCCATGGTAACAATGTGACATCATTATGTTGAAAGAAGTCTATTGTGACTCTTGCAACATGTGGTCGGGCATTATCTTGTTGGAAAGTTGGATCTGCCAAGGTGTCAAGATAGGGTAAAAGATGGGGTTCTAGAACTTCGGGGATATAACGCTGCGCATTCATGTTACCTCTGATGAAGATTAAAGGTGACCTGAAACAATAAGCTATAGCACCCCAAACCATAACTCCAACAGTGTGATGAACATGTCTTTCAACAAAAAACTGTGGATTCCTCGCCTTCTAACCCTGGCACGACCATCGTGCATGCCTAAACAAAATCGAGACTCGTCACTAAAGACAATACTGTTCCATTCCTGATCCCAGAGTGACCGTTGTCTGCACCACTCAAGGCGATTACGTCGGTGTTCTCGAGTTAAAGGGAGGACCCAGTGTGGCCGGTATGAAAACAAGCTAAAACTTCTCATTCGTCGGTAAACACTTCGCATGCCAATAGGTCTTCCGTGTTCTACAAACCATTCATTTGCAATGGACCTGGTAGTGGAGAAACGGTCCCTTAAGACCAATAATCTTAGGCGGCGATCTTCACGGTCTGTTGTTCTACGGCGGCGTCCAGTGCCCCTTGCTCTTTGCGTACGGCCTTCTCGAAGCCATGCCTGACAACACCTAACCACAGTGTCTGCATTTCTTTGCACTCTAACTGCAATTGCCCGAAAAGAAAGTCCAGCTTCCCGAAGTCCCACTATACGGCCTCTATCAAACTCACTAAGTTGACGAAATCGTACAGGTCTCCGTACTCTAGGCATCGTAACCGATCGTAAAGGATATCAAGAACCAAAATCCGCCAATTAAAAAAAGCAGTATAAAAACCGGAATGTCCAACTGATAAGGCTGAAAATTTGTTCACTTGTTATTTACAGTAATATAAATGCATTCACCAACTTTTATTAAAATAAAACCATTTAAACTGGGTGTTCGGATTTATATGTCACTTAGTATATGTAGATAGTCAGGCATTACGTTTCACAGGTCAGTAAGTAAACACAAGATGCAGGACCGATCTAAGACTTTCCTGATAGCTGAATACCTATTGCTGTAAACCTTATTTGACAAGTATCCATCAGGTTTTGACGTCTGCTGAGGTAAACAGCTAATCAGCAAGTGATATCTTTGTATTAGTACGTAACGTTGGCAATAATGAATCGGGTGTAAATGTAGTAAAATTGCTTGTAGCGTTTTTATGTATATAAATGACCTTTTCTAAAGCAGTTGTTAGCCAGTACAAAAAACTTGTAGCGAACAAAGAACAAAAAATACAGCTCTGTCTACCTGGCGTTGACGGATCCGTCAGAACTATTTATTATATTTACTCATTTGTCTATAATCAACTTCAAGTGAATAACCAAATGAAAATGGTATTTACCATTTTGGATTGCTATTTACCGATCCGTTCAAGCGAGTGTGGTTCAGTTCGGTTGTAAGGTCCGTGACGTCATTAATCACCTGTTAATATGTCATAGTTATCACCGTAAAATTGTGGTATTTACCCAACTCCGGGATAGTTTTATATTTCTGGTTATTATTTGAAATGTGATAAGTTAGAATTTTGGCGGGTCTTGCTCTCTCTTTGCTACCTTGGTTTCAGAGTGATACTTTCCGAGTTATAGAGGAGCCAAGGATTAGATATCATGTAAAATCTAGTAAACATAGTATGCTTTGCCGTGTTTACCCCATGGATACAGGGAGCATCTACAAGCACGTCATAGTGACGTCGAGTTTTAGTGATAACTCGTCAACTGACGTGATTGCTCCAAATAACGACGTTGTAATGACGGCTACACTATATGTCCAAATTGTGTACGTGTACTGTGAGACAATTTTATGAAGTGTTTTTGAGGATATGTTTATTTAATTGCATTTATTTTCATGTGTACGATGTTTGTGTTATTCCAGAATCAACCTTTCCTATTCAAATCAGCGAGCTGAAATAGTTATCTCGTTCACTCTGAAATGACAAATTATTAAGTTATCGCGAATCGTTACCGTGTAATGTTCAAATTCCCTTTTATATTTCTAGCGTCCAAATACATAATATTTAATAATTGTTAACAATAAGTGGGAATGAAAAATAACCTTATTGGATACAATATTTAAACACACCCTAAAAAACTAAGTCACACATATCACATTTTAGCTGTTCAGTGTGTTATGTATATATATATATATATATATATATATATAAATAATAATAATAATAGACGTCATATTCACATCCAGTAGGTGACGTATTATTGACGCTTGCCATAATGACGTCATCGCTATGTGACATTAGAAGATCACTTTCACGTTACTTTTATGCCATTGAATTTGTCATATTATTAACAGTTTGTAACGTGATTTTCATGTGCTTGAACTACCTGGTAGGTGTTCCCAAATACCCAAAACTGAATGAAACTTCCAAAAACGCACGAAGAAGAGCCCCGGTTTTTTTTATATTCCGACTACCACGAAGGCCTAAGACCTAAACACCCATGGGGTACTGTGGGGATACAGGGGAAAGGGGGAACGCCACACGGAATCTGAAGAGGGAACACGTGTGCATGCAACATGCACACGTTCTGGCTCCGCCTACGAGATCCGCCGGGTGGTACGTCTAGGTTCGACAGTCAAAGACCGTCTACCACCTACGGACAATCACAACATCCATAGCTAAGAGAAAAATTTCTCTTGGGACGGGATTCGTACCCGCTCAGCGCACGGCGACTGATCAGGAGACCGAAGAGTCTACTAATGCGGCCACCGCTCTACCTTGGAGCCACTTCGGCCGTAGACTTCGAGACCTTGTGCACTCAGGCCTAAAATGGCTCTTGTAGCATTTGATTTTCCCGATCACAATACTTGCGAACCAATTTTCAATCACAGTTCTCATCGCCTCCTCCCCCCCCTCGCTCCAATTTTATATAATCTTGCTTCAGGTTTCATTGCAAACTTGTTAACAAACCTTAACAATTGCCGATACGGGTTAAAAATCACTGCAGTATCTGATTCCATGAATATTTTATTTTAACAAAGGATTTCCATACTCGATATTTCCATATAATATCGATTCGTCTTTGCACCCATCTCTAAGAAATTGTGGTGTTCCGTGCTTGTATTTGTCATTAGCGAACTGTTATCAATGATGAAAATTCTTGAAATATCAATAAACGGTTGCCAGATTTGACAATTTGCCGCTAAATTGGCAAAATGCCTTGGCGAGTTCTTTTTTTGCGACCGAGAGAAGATTTCCGCGAATATATTTATCTTCCATGCTGTGATCTTAAGAACCGACAAATAATGTAATTAGTAAGTTTCCTGTACTTGAAAATACTGCTAAATCAAGCACATAATACATTTTATAAATCTTGAAGAATTTCTGCGATATCTTTAAATTTGAGGAATTCAAAGCGAGCTTTATTTCATGCGATATAGGCCGAGAGGTCAGGTGCAGTCGTGACACATCATCCCGCCACGGTGTATTAAATTTGTGTTGGCAAGTTAGCGGCTTACGTTGATAGGACACATGTCACAGTAGTTATTTACACATTGATAGCAAACGGTTAGATAGATATCAGAAACGGATGAGTATTTTTTCCATTCCAGATCTAACGATCTGCCGAAGGTAGATGTAAGTAAATTTTCAAGAATAATCTACTGTAAGTATATCAGAACTTTCTGATATTATGTCAACAGTAACCAGGATAATAAGCTTGACGAATACTCCGCTGTATTCCAGAATTTTCTGATGATCCCTTACTCCTTAGCAATTTCAAGATACAACAGACATCGATGGTTTTAACACTTTCGAGTCTTCTGACGAGTCAAATATTCTCCGAGCTTTAATATGAGTCCATCCCCCATTATCCTGTAGATACTATCAAATGTAGAAGATTATATCGCTCACTCATAAGTTTGTGTATTGTGAAATGGTTGCACCTGGATCTCCTCAAATAATTTTCACTTTCAAATTTTTTGCGCAAAATGATGTTGGCGACAAATAAGTCAATGGGACTGAAACACGGAAATAGCAAATTCTCATTTTGCCTTTCCTAGGGACATGATCGTCGTTGGACCTGGCAACCCTGCATCAATATGACAAGCTCACTGACAACTAATTAGTGTCGTGTAGTCCTGTGTAGTTATGGTCCCTTCCCTTGCTCTACACCTACTATCTACAACTGGGAGAACATAGAAAAGTAAACGTCAACATCCTGATAATTTAGAATATGTGCTTAAAAAATGAATCTTAATGAAGGATTTGTTAAAAGACGGAATGTAGTTCGTGAAAATAGTGAAGGTGTGAACAAAGAAGACCGTAATGATAAAAAATCAAGCCGCGATGATGATATTGATGATGGAGACTCGAAGGAAACAAGACTGACATTAATGGAAGAAGTCTTGTTATTGGGGCTGAAAGATAAAGAAGGATACACGTCCTTTTGGAACGACTGCATTTCCAGTGGACTGCGAGGATGTATCCTGATCGAACTTGGACTCAGGGGCCGTGTAGAACTGGAAAAAGTTGGCATGAGAAGAAGGGGTCTGCTGGCAAGAAAATTAATTGTAAAAAATGATACACCCATTGGCGATGTCCTGTTAGACGAAGCTCTGAAACATCTTAAAGAAACTGATCCCCCTGAGACAGTACAAAGTTGGATTGAGTATTTAAGTGGCGAGACATGGAATCCGTTAAAGTTGAGATACCAGTTGAAAAACGTGAGAGAAAGATTGGCGAAAAACCTGGTAGAGAAAGGTGTATTAACTACAGAAAAACAGAACTTTTTGTTCTTTGATATGACCACTCACCCATTAACAGATAATGTAGTCAAAAGTCGACTTATAAAGAAAATCCAAGATTCTGTACTTGGTAAATGGGTGAACAACCCACAACAAATGGATAAAAGAATGTTGGCACTTATATTCCTAGCACATGCCAGTGACGTGTTAGAGAATGCATTTGCACCACTTAATGATGATGATTATGAATTAGCTACAAAACGTGTTAGGAAGCTGCTTGATTTGAACTTTGAAGAAGAGGCAAACAAACCCAACACATGCGATGTTCTTTGGGCTGTATTCGCTGCTTTTACAAAGTAATTTCACATTATTATTATGAACTTAAATTTCTTGTAAGTTATGTGGTATACACACACTTTTATTTTTAATTTATAAGTTAATTGTCTGGGTTCTGCCTGCAAAAATTATATATTCCTCAAATTTTGGTAATGTTTTTATCATTATCAATAATATTGAAGTTAGAAGTTTTATACATCTTTATTTAAAACTAATGAAAATACATTCATACAAATGATATAGTTTGGAAATTCTTCAAATGTATTATTTTTTACTGTGATAAGATATTGAGGTTCACTTATTCAAATCATTAAATTTATATTTGCTGCATTATGAAAGATAGATGAGAAAAGCCTGCATTCATGGGAGCAAGTTTCCAGCTTGATTTTTTGTTCATAATCATGTTTGTTGGCTTTGATTCAGTCACTTGACAATGGCAAATATTATAATTTTGTATCTTTATTAATTAGTCATAATAAACACTGTACAAGAATCAGCTTCGTCAATGAAGTATGAAGCTAATGAAACTCCAATGTCCCAATTTTATATGTAAAAAAATTCACTTTGCGAGTAAAAAATCCTAAAATCCAATAATTTTTTAACTTCAGTTTAAAAATATTCAACATTTACACATTCCTCAATAGTGTTGAGTAAATTATGAAAAATGTTTAAGCCTAAAACATTTGATGATCTCTTTTTTACATTTTATTTGCAATGTGGTAAGGCAAAATCATTCCCACACAGAGAATTATAATCATATAAATGGGAATTTCTTGAAAAACCTGCTGTTTTACCAAATATGTAACTGAGTTTTCAAACATTGGAAATGATTGTTTTAAGAGTTTTTCAGACTTCAAATATATATAAAACTTGCAAACAGCAAACTCTACAGAAAGCTTACTAAAGACCTTTTTTGGTTCAGAATTTGATTATAAAAAAATTTAATTAGAAAATGTATACCATGAATCTGAGGCTTTCTCCTGGTCTAGTAGTCTCTTTGAAGCATTATTAATTTGTAACTTGCAATTTTTCATACAAGTATGCACATATAATCAGTTGATAAACAATTACTCATTGTGTAGTTCACAATATGATAGGACCAATTCGTGGTACTATAATGCATTTCAAATTTGACCAAGTGGCATTCTTTATCAGCAGTAAATAACAGTATAATTTTTGTTAATGCTGTCTAGTGCATTTTCTGTTTGTCAGTTGATATAAATGCATCATGTTTCTTGTAATATGTTTTTCACAAATTGTATCAAATATAGTGGAATCGAACTTCATATATACATATATATATATATTTTTGTTGTAATTTTTCAAATATTGGAAAAATCGATTGTATACTTCATAGTAGAATGTATATGCTGTTTGAATTAAAACAAAATGACGTTATCTTGTTTCATAATTGAAAAGATTGTTGTAATATTTCATCACTGCTTTGGTTGTGCCCAGTGATATGAAATATGTTAGAGACATAATGCTGCAAATATAATTTTATTAAAATTGATTCAACCATACACATAGTGAAATTCACCAAAATGATATATATGTATTTCACAATTATTTGAATTGATTCAGAAACATGTTTAAAGTTCTGCAGTATCCACATGTATTCCTTTTGTAAATATGTGTCTTCATAGCTTATGATTTATTTTATTAGATATAAACAAGGAAGTCCATACGAAAAAATGTGCAGTCCCATCATGTTATTTACTTTTTGTTCTCATTTTCTTTATAAAAAATGATTTATTTTATGTAAAAGTTCCAAAAAAAATGTTATGTAATTAAATGTTTCACACAAAAATTACGAAAATTTATATATATTAAGATTACTTTAAATTTCTTGTGTCTTGAAAAGTAAATATGTCATGATTGAACTGCAAAAATTTTCCTCAAAGCAAAAATTAAAAAACCTGAAGCTTTCTTTAATGCCTTATATTTCATTCTTGCAAACCTACTGTTTATATCTCAAAATGTCAGTTTGAAGCTATGGACCTGTGTTTTACATAGAAATAGGTACTGGAAAGCTTTAAGTAGCAAATTATTGTATTATGTGACGAAAGATGAAGAGCATTTTAATACTTATTAATTGAATGAAACAATATACACATTGAATTGGTTTATTGAAAATTTACTGATAACATTCTTTAATGCTTGTTTTGGATTTGTATTATTTACATTATGTTAATAAAGGAAAACAACAACTTTGTCTGTTTTATCTCTTGGTTTTGAACACTGTATGGAGTTTTTCCTTTCTTTCTAGGAATTTTTCATAATTCCTTTGTCTTCTCAAACGATCTTTCAAATACATCAAATCCAATTTATCTTGTTCACTGTATTTTCCAAAAAAATGAAGAATGGGTGCTGTGAAAACATCAATTTAACATACCTTCTTTTCAAACCATTGGAATCAGAAACATATAAGCAAAATACAACACTTCCAGTGCCATTGATTTATTGATATTTTTGTACTGTATTTCAAAATATGGACCTTACTCTCCTCTAGAATGTTAATGTCTCTATAAAAATTATTTTTCAGTAAAAATTTAACAAAAAAATGTCAACATATAATTAAATGTTTCACGCAAAAATTACGAAAAGTCCTATATATGATTACTTTAAATTTCTTGTTTGACTTGAAAAATAAATTTGTCATGATTGAACTGCAAAATTTCTTCACAAGGCAAAAATTAAAAAATGTAAAGCTTTCTTTAAAGCCTTATATTTCATACATCCGAACTTCTTGTGTGTATCTCAAAATGTCATGATGAAACTATGGACCTATGTTTTACATAGAAAGAGGTACTGGAAAGCCTTAAGTAGCAAGTTATTGTATTATGTGATGAAAGATGACCATTTTAATACTTATGAATTGAATGAAACAATACTACATTGAAAATTTACTGATAACATTATTTAATGATTGTTTTGTATTATTTACATATTATGTTACTGACGGACAACATCAACTTTGTCTGTTTTCTCTCTCAGCTCGGAACAGTCTCTGGAGTTTTTCCTTTTTTTCTAGGGATTTTTCATAATTCCTTTGTCTTCTTCTCAAACGCTCTTCTTTTAAACATTTCACCATGAATTTATCTTGTTCATTGCATTTTCCAAAAAATTTGAGGAATGGGTGCTGTAAAAACATGAATGTCACATAGCTTATTCTTCAACAAATCAAAACATTGGAATCAGAAACATATAAGCATACACAATGCTTCAAGTGCCATTTATTTATGTTTTTTTGTACTGTATTTTGAAATATAGGCCATGCTTTCCTCTAAAATGTTTAATAATTTCAAACAACATGAGGTAAGCATTAGAATAAAGCACTTTTGAAATAGAAATAGAAGATTCTTGCATCATTCTTTAGGTATCTAAATCTCATATATACAAGTTTAAGATGGCAAAGGCCTCTAGCTTAGACTAAATGAAATTGCTGATAGATTATAAAACGTGTCTAATAATTGCTATAATAATATAGGGCTCATATGAAGGTAGGACTAGTCATTGTAGGCAAGATTGATCCCTCAAAGGAATTATGGATTCCTAATTGTTTACTAATCTGATATCCTTGTCAATGAAAAATCATCACGAAGATAAATAATGAGACGCAGACGACTCACCAGTTGTAATATAACAAGTATAGACTACAGAATTTGTAACTATTTTGGGATTGAACTCAAATCTTACCTCTTGATGGCACTGGTGTAACAGTTGTATCAGTTCATTACACTTTTCTGTGTGGAGATGCGGCGCTAGATCTGTATGCATTTCTGTTATATAATTTGCAGCTACTTTCAACAGTTACAACATTCAACAGACCTCAAATTCCATTGGAACGTGCAAGAACTATAGTGCTTTCAAAATTTAAATATTTTTCTACAAATTTTGTCACCATGACGTACCTGCCACGATGACAGCTGACGCAGCACAATGACATAGGGATGGCAACAGTATACCGGTATTTGTAAAAAATATACCGGTACTTTGCAACCGGTTTTTAGTGCTCGGTCTTGGTAACCTGAGAAAATAGTCTGTTCATGAACTAGACATTAAGGTAAAAACGAATAATAATCGTCAGTTTTGAAGACAAAAATATATATGATGAGTTACCAGGTTTCTAGCCAAAATTAATGAAGCTTGTATCAAGATACGAGGTTTAATCATCCACTATACATAAGGAAATGTTTGCAATAACGATTAAATATTGGTAAATAATAACTAAAATTTAGTAATAATAATACACTAGGACTCACGAAATATTTTATTTTCTAAGGAATATGAATAAAAATGTTATTTCATATATAGACACAGGTTATACAAAAACAGTTTTCTTAATGAATCATAAAATCTATGGTAACGTTGGTGAATAACAGGTTTGAGTGCTTGCAAGTTATCAGATGTATCACCTTTTATTGGAGAAGGAGCCTTATAAAGATTTTTAAACGAACCAATGCCTAAGTTTATTCTTTGTGGTAATGAAGTCCATTCGTGATCAAAGTTCGATTCATAGAAATATTCAATTGTCTGTGAGGTAAAGTGAGAGCTTAAGAGCTCACATAAGTGTCGGTAACACAAGGATCTCCTTTTTTATCTTCCTGGTCTTATAGATAAATAATATTTAAATCTTCGAAGTTGCTGAAAAAGGTGTGATGTATGTATATATGTTTTTGCTAGAAATTAGCTTTTTATCGATCTCCTTTTTGTACAGCTCATAGTCCTCACTATATGAGTTAAGCAAATTTTGTAAATACAATTTACTAGTAGCTCGACAGTAATGTGAGAGTAACTTTGGTATCTTCTCAAAAGGTGATTTAATTGCAGATCTCTTCTGCTAATTTATAATATTTTACTTATTTGTTTGGAAGTTTCCCTTTTTGAAACCAGAGCTATCACACCCGTTTTCACCCAATCTAAAACTGACCACTCTTCTAACGCCAGTGTAGAAAGGAACATCTTTTTACATATCTACAAGTAGTACAACATTGCTTATCTTAAGTTGGGGTAAAAGTAGGAGAAATGTCGTCCCGATTTTTTCTTGGTGAATTGTTTCAACTTTATTGACAAGTGTTACAAAAGCTTATTTCTGTTTCCAGTCCATTTCTCCTCAAAACCTATCGAAAAGTTCCTGTATTTGATCATCAGTAATGTGCCCCGGCACTGTCTCTTGTTTCTAGAATCATTGCATTTTTGTAAACTGCACCTTTCCCCCATTTGTCTTGCTCCCTTTCACTAGATGCTCCATTCTCCGTCAACCTTTTCTTGCCTTCATATTCCTTCCCGAGCATACGAAGTAATTTTGCTTTATTTATTTTCCATTCGCTTTTATGTTGTTCACCCTTTTTTCGCTCTTTCCTTCTTGTTTGTTTGTATATTGTATGCAATATCGTCTGGAATGGCTTCACGTCGAAGGTTATTCACATGGTGTATGTGTAATCTTTTGATCTTTTTTTTTGCACCCTCTGAAGAGTCTTCTGAATCTGGGCAGTAGCTAGACCCAGAGTCCTCAACCGGATCAGGTACATCAGACAGACAATCGTTTTCTTCAATAGTTGATCTACTAGTAGATACGTGGTTTTCGCATTTCAGCAGCAATTATATTGAGATACGAGTATAATTACTTGATCGCAGCGCACGCGTTTATCGTACAATCCTGAAAAGTAATGAGCTCTATCCAACGGATAGTTTCAATTCACTTTTGGCTTTGGCTATTATACGGGGTGTTCCGTACTTGAATGGTCATAGTGAAATGCTAGGTAGTATAGACAGGCCTTTTCATATATGAAAATAAAAAAAGGTCTACATTCGTTATTGACGGATATAAGATTTATCTAAACAGGCACAATTGAACCGATTTTGTTGAAATTTTGCACGACAACAAAGTTACTTAAAAATAACGTAAAACTAGACGGATGGTTAAAAAATGCAGGGCCAGACGCGAATTTTTTTTAATGTTTTGTCTTTTTTATCAAAATCTCTCTTAGGCTTACTATTGAAATGCTTCACTAAGAACAAAAAATCCAATGAATGGTGCTAGTTAAGTAGCGAAATAGATTAATTGCGCCTCTTTTAGTTTTTTTTTATTAAATTTTTCTCATTTTTCAAAATATCTTATTTTTAACAGTTTATGTGACACAAAACTCAAAATTTCAGAATTTCAGGGTCGGCCTCAGTTTTTTATTCCCTTGTATTTTATTGAGTGCAACGCCCTGTAGGTTATACTCTGAATTCATTATTTCGCAGAAAAATTTGAGCGATAGGTGATACAAGTAAAGGGGTAAAAGCATGGAATCAGGAAGGCCGTACACGAGAACAGTTAGAGGTACAGGGTCCGTCAGAAAAAACGCATGTTCTTTAAATAAGTAGTACAGTCAAAATAAGTAAGGGAACAAATATTTCATCATATCAACATACTTAGAAACGAGCCCATTGCGCCGGCCAGCATCCGTGCAGGAATTTGGGTTACTTCTCTTCTTATTTCCTCCTTCAAATCGTCGAGGGACGAGGATTGCTTTGGTAAACTTTTGATTTCAGGTAGCCCCATAAAAAAAAATCACACGTTGACAGGTCCGGGGAGCGAGGGGGCCAGGGAATATCGCCATCACGTGAAATGAGGAATTTTTTCGAAGAAGTTCCATCGAAGTGCGAGCTGTGTAAAATGTTGCCCCGTCTTGTTCGAACCACACTGTTCTGAGACGGACACGTCGACGTCGAAGTTCCGAAAAAAAAAGTTGTTCAGCATGTGTATGTAATGGTACGATTCCACCAAAACAGTGTTCAGCACATTTGTTTACAAACATTTTGTGTGAAACTCCAGCATTGAACGTGCTCACTGGTATCGAATTTATCTTCTGTGTCCACCGGCAAAGCAGTGCGTAACTTTTGTAAGCGTACAGTGTAGTACACTTGTGCACGAACATGTTTACCAAGCAAAGTTCTCACTAACCTCAGTTCTCAATATGGACGGGCAGGAAAACGTAGTGATTTGTGCTGCAGCTTGTGTTTTAACATGTAGTCTGCTTAAAAAGAAACGAAGAAGAAAACCACGATGTTGGGCGAGGCCTTTTCTACAGCGACGGAATGAAGAAATGAATAGATTTGTAGAAGAAATAAAAGTAGATCCCTTGAGTGGATTTAAAAATTTTACTCGTATATCGTGTGAAGATTTTGAGTTACTGGTCAATGCACTTAGTCCTCATATTGCAAAGCAAGACACCAACTACAGAAAATGTGTCCCTGTTTCAATAAGGCTAGCAATTACCCTGAGATATCTTGCTACTGGAGATTCTTTTGCAAGTTTAATGTATTTATTTAAAGTTTCAAAAGAACTTATTGCTCGGATTGTACCTGAGACTTGTAAGGGGTTGATAAGCGTGCTGAAAGAAAACATTAAGGTAAGAAAGCTAAACCATATTTATTAACATTTATTGCTACATATCTTGCCAAGTTAATATTTCGCTGTTATGCTGGCGTAAAAGGTCGTCTTCAAAATCACCATTGCGGGCTTGAAAACTTGAAAGCGGTACCTGACCTTGTGAGTTTGACGAATCTGAATAAGGTGAAGGAATTCGAGTCGTAGCATATTTTCCAGTACCAATAATCGCGTCATACAACAAATTATCAATGTCCCTTTGCACTAAAATCTTCTTTCGCTCATCTTTAATTTTTCTTAATTTCGTTGCGACGCCTGCAGCAAAAATGTCATCATCGTCACGTTTTCTTGCTTCCATCTGCTTATTTACGTTGTCCATAATGGAAAAAGCATGGGAAATTCTCGGGTCTTCATCGACAGCACGACGTTTCAACGAGTTCTTTGGAGCCTTAAACTTTTCTACTGGCCTTTCATGAGATGACTCTTGACTTTCATTTACTGTAGTATGGTCTTGTATTAGCTGAAATAATATTTTCTTTTTCAGATGCCTAAAACTGCAGAAGAATGGATGCTGATAGAACGTCAATTTGAAAAACATTGGAATTTCCCTCACTGCATTGGTGCTATGGATGGCAAACATATTGTTATACAAGCTCCAAATAATACTGGAAGTGACTTTTTTAATTACAAAGGCGATTTCAGCATTGTACTTTTGGCATTGGTTGATGCAAATTATAAATTCACGTACGTAGATGTCGGTTGTAAAGGAAGAATATCGGATGGTGGTGTTTTCAAAAATTTCAACTGCTTGAATAAATCTTATCATTTGATCATTCGTCCAGTCCATTTTTAATTTCGTAAAAAAAGTGCGCGTACAAACAAATGTTTTCACTCCAGGAGTGGAAGCAACACTTTGTTCGCGAACAACAAGTATGTACGCGCCGACGCGAGTCCACTGCTTGTATGTGCGCGCACAAAAGTAACTGATGTGTACGCGAACGTTTCCGAAATGTTTGCGCATAATTTGCTATTGTTTGCGTGAGTGAGTCGACCAGAAGAAACATTTGTGCTGTACACTGTGCATTAGAGTGCCGCACAGTTCAGCACACTGGTGGAATCGCATCTTTACGCTCTGAAAAATTGTTGCTCCATCATCTCAAAAAAATAAGGGCCAATAATCATCGTTGGGCCTACTGAACACCAAACTGTAACTTTCGAGGTATGCAGAGGAGGTGCTCATGCAACTGATGGGGATTCACTGGAGACCAATATCGACAATTTTGTTTATTGATGTATCCATGTAAATGAAAATGTGCTTCATCACTCATAAACAGCGTCATGTCATTGTTATCCAACTGTTCAATCATGAGCTGTGCAAAATTAACACGTTGTGCATAATCCCCTGGCAAACGTTGTTGAAAAACTTGGATTTTGTAAGGATGGAACACTAAATCCTTCTTCAAGATGCGACGTACAGAGGACGCGTGGATCCCTAGGGAACTGGCACGCAAACGGACGGAACGATTCGGGCTTTGCAGCGTGTCAACTCTCACTCTGTCTACGTATTCGGGGGCTCTAACAGTACGGTTTTGCTCTGGCGGTTTTTTCTTCATCACATTACCTGTTGTGTTGAATGCTTTCACCCATCTCAAAATGGTGTTACGGTCTGGTACTGTCCCATGACGTCGAACATGAAATTAACGTGAAACTCACGTTGCGTTCGAACGACAGACTCGCCATTTTGAAAGTACCGACGTGAACACACGATGCTCAACGTTCCAAACCATCTCGCCAACTGAAACGGCACTTCTCCCACTATCCAACACACCCTTCCCCAACGACACCGGACCAGCCCACTCTATGTAGTACCCATTCGAAAAACATTCTTCGTTCTTTCTGACGCACCCTGTACAAGGCGGGTCAGACGAACGACAACACACCAAGATCGCCGCCTTAGGCTTTTGGCCTTACGTAGCCATTTCTCTTCCACAAGGTTAATTGCGGACCAATGGTTTGGACAGCATGGAAAGTCTATTCAGTCTTGCACTTCATACCGTCTTCAGTTTGTCCTACCTCTCACCCCTATACATCGAAATGTTGGATTGGCTTGGTGCAGAGAACGGCTTAACTAGGACCTCGAATGGAATGCCATTGGCTTGAGAAGTCGACGTGGTGAAAGACGAGCTTCTTAATTTTTTATGGAAACCCATGTGCACCACATTGTTGGAGGAATGACGTCGAGCGCTATTGCTTATAGAAGGAAGTCACCTGCCACAGGCAACATGACTGCCGTGCATTACATCAAGAAGGGCCTTATATACGGACGCTGCCCCACCTACTTTTGAAACAAAATAATGCTCGACCACATATAGCCAGAAGTTGGTCAATTTTAAAGACAATCAAATCAATTCGTTTCCTCGGCCCCTAGATCCTCAGATATTTCACCCATTGATCCCGTCTGGGACATTATCATCCACAAGCTCCGGCCGCACTCCGGCACAAGGTACGAGTAGCCAGGGATCATCTGATTAGGAGCATGCCCCAGGCGTGTTTCTGAGTGCATGCGGCATCGTGGAATGTCAACATATTATTATTTTTTACATATTACGTATTGTAATCGCGAAAATTTTCGAAAACGATATATGCTTTTGGATGTTATATGACATTTACATCACGAAAAACTTTTTCACTCATGTCCAAAAATCGCTCAAACTTTTTCGACGTTTCAGAGATCCTAATATCTATTGAAATACATTTTAAAGGTAAGAAAATTTGGGGGTAGGGGAGCGTTTATCTTATTTTTTTTATGTTAGTACATTTATACGTTCCCAATATTGGTAAATTATACGCGCCTATCACACATATTTCACGCACCATAGGTTTTTCTGTGCGTTAACCCCCAAACAATAAAAAAAATGTTCTGGGCAGTCGGATCGCATACCTTCCGGCCCTGGCTGCGAAGTGTTCTGTTGTTCTGGTTTGAGTTCTATGATACCCTGTTTCATAATAACAGACCTCGTTTAGCATAAAGTCTGAATATACGATGTTTGCATTAAACACGATAGATTTGAATAAGCTATGCTTGAAAAATTTTGCAAATTTTAAGGTTGACTATTTTCTTACAAGATTCGGTTCCATTGAAGCTTTTCAAATTCGACATTAATTACTCGACGCACGTTGCCAAAGTTTTATACTCATACTACTCATAGTAATCAAAGTAACGAATACAATAAACGATTACTTTGTAGAAGAGAAACGATTAGTAAGGAAATACTCGAAAGTAACGACGACAATCAACACCACTGGAGTTCTGGCATGGTATCACACGTATTTCTGCTGCGTCACAGCATAGTTCAGTTTTAAGCTGAGCGCACTGTCGCCGCACCTTGCGTATTTATTCCGTTCAAAGTAATCGAGATCGTTCTTCAACAGATGGCTCAGCGGAGTGTTGCCGCTGTTTGTGTTTGTTATAAGAACTAACGGGTGATTTTCAAAAAAAACACAAAACATTTGAAAAAACGATTAAATCTTTATTTGAGTCGATAGAACGGTCGATATAAATTAATGTTTAAAGATTATTTCATGTAAATGTTGGCCGCGGCTCCGCTTTAGATGGCCCATGCGCAAGGTCCAATTTTGGCACACTCTCTCCAACATATCGGCCGGTATCTCACGAATAAATGCTTCAATATTGGCTTCCAGTTCGTCAATCGATGTTGGTTTATCCCTGTAGACATTAGCCTTAACATGGCCCCACAACAAATAGTCCAACGGCGTTAAATCACACGATCTAGGCGGCCAATTGACGGACCCCAAACGTGAGATAAACTGTTCACCGAACTCGCCTCTCAATAGGGCCATTGTTTCGTGTGCGGTGTGGCATGTGGCGCCGTCTTGTTGAAACCACAAGTCAGCCAAGTCCAGCTCTTCCATTTTGGGCAAAAAAAAGTTTGTTATCATCGCACGATAGCGCTCGCCATTCACAGTTACGTTCCGGCCATTGTCGTCTTTGAAGGAGTACGGCCCGATGATGCCACCGGCCCATAATCCACACCAAACAGTGATTTTTTCGGGATGCATTGGTAGCTCTTGCAATGCTTCTGGCTGGCCTTCACTCCAGATGCGGCAATTTTGCTTGTTAACGTACCCATTCAACCAGAAATGAGCTTCGTCGCTGAACACAATTTTTCGATAAAAATGTGGATCTTCCTCCAACTTTGCCAGCGCCCATTCACCAAATTGGAAACGTGGGAGGTCGTGTGGCTTCAATTCTTGCACCAGCAGTATCTTATAAGGTTTTACACCCAAATCCTGTCGCAAAATTTTCCACGTAGTGGAGTAACAGAGGCCCAATTGCTGCGAACGGCGGCGAATCGACATTTCACGGTCATCACTAACACTTTCGGATACAGCCGCAATATTTTCTTCAGTCCTCTCTCTACGTCTGCGTGTTGGTGGTTTAATGTCCAATAATGTAAACTGGGTTCGAAATTTAGTCACATGCTTCCGAATAACTCCCTCAGTAGGCCGACCAAATTGCCCATAAATTGGAAGCAGTGCTCGATGCACTCTCTTAACCGAGCATGAATTTTGATAGTAAAATTCAATAATTTGCAAGCGTTGTTCGTTCGTAAGTCGATTCATGGTTAAATTATACACCAAACTGAACAAGTTTGACAATGACACAAGACACGATTCACGCGTCATCTGTCAAAAACAGTGTCGCCAAAAAGATACTAGCAAAAAAATCACCCATTACTTCTTCACTCTAAAGTCCGATGGTTAAGTAGAGGACGAGTGCTGAAACGTTTTAATGATATCATATCTGCCATAGATCAATTTTCCAAACAATGTGATCAACCGATTCTGGAACTGGAAAATTCAATCGGGCATAGAGATTTTGTTTTTTTTGTGGATATTACAGAAAAATTAAATGAACTTAATTTGCAGCTTCAGGGGAGAGTAAAAAAACTAGCAGAAATGAGTTGTGATATAAAAGCGTTTATCAAAAAGCTTGAGTTTTTGGAAGAAAACTTGATCGATGGCGATACCAGACATTTTCCTGCTCTTTAAGAAAAGATACCTCAAAGTCCATCAGAACCATATGACAGTAAATATCATGTAGGAATGATCTCTAACTTGAAGGATAACTATAATGGCGCAGTTTGTTGTTTCACCCTTCATAGGAATTGCTATCCAACAGTTTGCAATTTCTGTTACGCAGAATTTTAGCGAAGACATCGCTGCGACAGAAAAGGAAGTGATTGCGTTTCAAAATGATTTAGCTTTGAAGTCATTAGTCTCAAATATAAAATGTATGTGGCCTCCAGTAAGTAAATATAAATATTCAGTTTTCAGTATTCAGTAGCCTTGAAAGTGAAAGCGTTATTAAGTTCAACCTATTTGTGTGAATCTTCTTTTTCAAATCTAAAGCTTATTAAAAACAAATACCATAATCGACAGATGAACATTTGGATAATTGTATTCGAATGGCGGTATCAAATTATACAGCAAACATTAAAAAAATTGTCAGTGAGTCTGAGTGTCAGGCCTCTCATTGAACACGCATTTTTTATCTGGACATGTTTTTGTTTAAAATAGAGAGTTGCTGTTTTATTTCTAGTTACCTTTATTAAATCGTATGTGACATGCCATTGTAGCTAACGAAAAATTTTGTTTATTTTCCAAACACCTCCGATTGGTACGAATGGATGTAGTATGTATTAGTTATTAGCTTATATAAGTTTATTAGTATGCATTAGTATTAGTAAAATAAATACGTGTGTGTCGCATAAAACTGTGTATAATTTCATTTAAGTTGGCCTACATTGCTTACGACTAAGTAGCTCACCGTTTATTCCAAACTTACCAAAGTAGTTCAACATACTGAAAAGGTTGGCGACCACTGCTTTAAGGGCTCAGTAAGTAACTGATCAAAATTTCAGAGAAATCCAACCTTTGAAAAAAAAATGGCGTCCAGTGACTCTGCATCTCTCGCTCAGCGAAACGAAATTAGTGATTTATTGACGCGTAAAACTTCTATGAAAAAATCAGTCCATAGACATTATTTGCATATCCTATCCTTTTTTTCTGTGTCACTTATCTAGTATAAAGTGTTTTTTCAGCCACTCAAAATTAATTCAGACCAAGCCAACCTAAGCAGACAGATATCAACATATGGTCAAACTTAATCACTGCTTGAAACTCCCACAATGTGTTATATGTGGATTCTATATTGGAAACGTACCTTTGACACAGGCCGCGACAAATTACCACCAAAATTAATAACATCGGAAATGAAGACAAAGTCAGAGGATTACAAACATTTTAATTTCACGTACAACTGTAAAAAAGAGTAACTCGAAAACTTAGATGAAATTCAATAAGTTCCAAACGTCGCGTCGCGTAGGAAGCATCACAGTCCTGGCACCCGTAGGAAAAGCGTACCTAGTATATACTCCTCGACAATTTCTTCGGGGATATCGCCTATTTCAATTACTCGTAGCAATTTTATCTTTTTACGTAGGTCGTATGAAACTTTGTGTAATCTACACACCTGGTCCTTAGAGTAAAGTTTTGACTCGATCATCTTGTGAACCAGGCTTTGCTTCAAGTTATATATTTCCATTAAATCTTTTCCATTCTTGACAACATAGTGCGCAGCTATGTCCACGAGAGACATCACAGGTTCATTCCTTTTCTCTGAAAATGGAAAAATGCATTTTGATTATAATGATATTATAGTTCATGTAACAATGAGGAAATTTTCTTTGTAACACATATACCAAAGCCTTAAGGTAACCGAGATATTAAGTTCCAAAAATGTAAATGGGCCAGCCCGCCCTAGTATCCAGCGTGAAAAGGTACGATATGACATAGAGGCGGTTTGTGCAGCCAATTTTTTACTTCCCAAACCAGCTGGCGGGGACAGACGTGCCGAGTTTAACGATTGTTACAGAAAAGCAGTCCAGGAACCAGGATATCACGTTGCCGTGTCAATACCCCAAAGATACGACGTTACCCCTGAATCATTGATGACCGAGCAAGATGACTATCATTAAAGTAACAATCCCTTCACACATCCTGCCATGAGATACATTCAGACTCCAGCGATTGCTAAGAGAAGATAGTTAAGCGGTCGTCACTCGGCCAAAGGCCACCGTGTCAAAATCCGACATTTTCCCTGGTAGAGGAACCCGATCAGTAATTAACATATCTACCTCAACCCAGCAAATGGGCTCCGAAAGTGCCATAACAACCCCCAGAACCTAGAGGCGTCCCACCTGCGGATATTCAATAACAAGTCGTAAGCCATAAATTAAATTATGAAGGTAAAAAGTATAGCATCTTTATAAACATGGCTTAAGACAATCATGATCATGAATATAAAAACTATTATGGTTCCAAAACCATGTAGTACATTAGAATAAAGGATACACTCAGTGATTGCTCACCTTTCAGGTAACCAAAACACTACACCCAATAGCACATCAACACTCTAATTAGGTCCACAATACGCACTACTTGGTCTGAGAAGTGATGACTTCCACGCACTATTTGAACTGTGATGCGTTTCAACAAAAGTTTATCCTGGGAACAAGTACCAAGAGAAGGAATGGAATGTATAACATAAACAGGCTAAAGGGCCGTCGTGCTGAGTGACACTAACCAGACTTGTGAACCTTCTGGAAAGATTTTGTGTGCTACAGGGTTGAACTCGCATGTAAAAATGTGTTTGGGACATTTCGTAAGTTGCACTTGTGACTTTTTGTCTTCCCTAAGTTGAAAAATTACCTAAAGGGAACTCATTTTGGCACAGTCGAAAACATTTAAACGTCTGTAACCAACCAGCTGAAGGCTATTGCAGCACCGAAGTTCTACCACTGCTATGAGGAGTGGAAGAAACGTCTCCAGCGCTGTGTGGTTTCAGAAGGAAGTTATTTTGAGGGTCACCATATACAATTGTAATTATACTCAGAGACATTAGAAGTGTTACAGCCAGAAAAAGTAATTTCTTCAACTTGATTTTTTGGCAATGAGGTAGTCTTACATCAAGAATGAAGCGATAAAATTCTCACGAAATTTTATTGACAAGTAATAAGAAAAAAATTAACAATGTGTTGGGCGACCCCTCAGCTGAGTACATTTCTGTATATGTCTAGGCATCGACCAAATGAGATGATCGATGTCTGGTTGTGGTATCTCATTCCAAGCAACTCGAACTTCGTGGATTAGCTGTGGCAGAGTCTGTGGCGGATGGTGCAAAGTGGATGAGGCCAAAAACTCTTGCCGAAGCACTTCAATTTATCATTTCCGAGAACAACATTTTACATTCAAGAAAACTTCATTTTGACAACAACAGAACTCGTCCAAATAAACAAAACCACCACCCGAAACATTCTTCGAACCACTATTTCGGTCCACAGCATTATCAGGGACCAGAATGTTATCCAGTATTCTCAATATCCAATCAACTAGAATTCTCAACAATTTCCTCGTGGCCCAATTCCAATACAACCTAGGCCAGCACCACCGCAAAAATATCCAACCAATAGACAAGTTTTTGGCCCACCAAAAAATGTTTGGAGACCTAATTTATCCCAATAACAACCACGGCCTACCGCCATGAGTGGATTTTCTCAGTTCAGAAAACAAATTCTCAAAATGCAGTTTCTCAAATCTATCTTCATTTCTAAAGGATCGAAAAGAGGATTACTTAACCATCTTGGTTCTTTGATCAAGTCTTTAACTGGCAACATGGATAATGAAGACGCTAAAGAAATATACGGCAGCATCTCTGAGCTCGAATCTAGCCAAAACAAAATTATTATAAAAATAAATAAACATTTTTTTGAATACAGAATTAATAGGTTATGTTAACAAAACTATTTCTACAGTAATCGATAACCAAAAATCAATATCCGACAAAATTGAACAGTTAAGAATAGCGCCTAATGGAACATCATTCGCTCTATCACATTACATAAAAGTTCATGAAATTTTGAGCCAAGTGAAAATTAACCTGGATTATTATTTTATCAGATATTGAAAACGCTATCTGTTTCGCGAGTCTTGGGATTTTGCATCATAGTATTGTTTCTCCTAAGCAGCTCGAAGAAACTATCAATTTATTATCTCAATCACATAATCATCTTCAGACGAGGCGATTACCCCTACTGAGCGGGGTCGTGGCAAATGCTTGTATCAAGTATACAACTTCTTCTCGTTCACAATGATTATGGATCCCTCGATTAGTAGGAGGGTGAACTCTAGGGAACAACATCGAGGATAAAATTTGTTTTACGAACATCTGCGGGATTAACAGCAACATTGATGCTGTTCATCACTACCTGGAATCCAATCGCCCCGCCATGCTTCTCTTGGCGGAGACAAAAATCTCAGAGTCTGCACCGATTAACCATCTTAGCTTCCCAACTTACGAGGTGCACTCCAATCTGAGAAACAACGGGGGAGTTGTCGCTTTTGTCCGCAGCAGTCTTTCCTGCTCCAGAGATGTTTCTTTGGAATCAGACCGGAAGGACATTCTGTGGCTTGGCGTCAACGCTAAAACATCCCCCAAATTTATGTGCTGCCTTTATCGCTCTCCCTCGGACCAAAACTGGGATGACCTACTTGAATACCTCGCCGTCAAGATCGACTTCCTGAACATCGATCATCCCGCTTCAGAGGTAGTTCTTCTCGGTGATTTCAATTTGCTTTGGTTGGGCTCAAACAAGACCGATGCAGCAGTTGAAGCGTTCGCTCTTACTCAAGGGCTGATCCAGCTGGGGACGGGCCCTACTTTTTTTCCCCGCGTCTCTTCACATGCTAGTAGCCTGATGGATCTCTTTCTGAACACGCATCCTGTCCCTTACAGCACTGCTGTCCTGTCCCCCCTGGGTAGCTCAGACCACGGTGTTGTGGAGGTTAGGTTTCGGTCAGAACCCGCTGTGGCAGCAGAAACTCGCACAGGCCGCAAAATTTGGCATTACGGACATGCCGACTGGGAGAGGCTCAGAGACTTCTTTTCTACCTTTCACTGGAGAGATGTCTGTTTCACTGACGCGGATGCGTCGGCTATCTGTTCTTCGATAACCAAAATTATCCACGTCGGAATGCATCCCTCATACAGTGAAAGTGCGTAAACCAGGGTCACAACGCAATGGCAGTCAGTCTTTCTGGACGCTGGTCAAGCAGACTGAAAAGAAACCCTCACACAGCAGCCTTCCACTACTTAGTGTCAGGATGGAACGATTATATCCGACTCAAAGGCCAAGGCGGAAGTCCTTGCCAAGATCTTTGCTGCCAACTCTAACGCCCAAGTGCCGTCAATTCAAAGAGTTCTCCACACTATGCGAGAGGTAACATTCAGGCATAAGACCATAAGACGAGTGCTCTTGCCGCTCGACATAAACAGACTTCTGGACCGGACTTGATTCCTGCCATTGTAAATAGTCATTTTCATCTATTTTCCGTTCCAGACGTGAACAATACAATTCTCATACCCCCTTCGCCATTACTTACCCTGAGCAACGAGCACTATCAATATGATGACGAAGCATGTTTGGATCTTCAAGATCAGTACTTCTGTCAGAAGAATATCCTGTTGCGTATGCGTGAAAATCCAGATTGTGTGACCTCCCTGCTATCAATAAACATGGAAGCCCAAGTGCCTGTTCAGACGTATCGCCCAATTATTGAAGAAATCGATAACGTCCGCTACATTGGCATATATTCCCTGAACCATTGAAAATCAAAACGAACTGTGAAGAAGAAAAAGGACACCGAAATTTACATACAAAATGAAAAAGGAGTTATACCTGGACATCCGATCGCCTTAGAAGGAATTAAAGGTGTTATTATAACAAGACTTCTAGTCAAGAGGCCTGCTCTAGAAAAAGTATCCCTAGACAAGCTACACCAAATCCAAGTTCAAGACTCCGACGAAGAAAGGTTATAAGAGGTCCACTTCCAGAAAATCTACTCAAGACCATCTTTGGGTATTATCTCAGCCCTTGGCCTTTTGGTGATCAGCTACATAATTTTTACCAAGTGGCACCTGCTTAAGAAGATCAAGAAAGAAGAACCACGGAACATCACTACAAGGGTCGACAGAACTCAAGTATAACCGCCCTTGAGTTTCTTCTAAAGAATGGAGGAGTTATATCGCTACAAATCCCTTACGTTGCAATAGAACAACGCCCAGCATCACGCCACCATAGGAATCTGCATAGATTACGTCAGTGCGAGTGAACAATGGTCCGACAGACTTGAAATAGATTTTTAACGATACACATGTTATTTCATTATACAGTTCGAGTAGTGTATTTTTACATTGTATCTTAAAAATCCAAATTAAATCTTTTTAAAAGTAAAATTTCGAAAGTAGAAATTTAAGTATTGTCTGATATACAGGGTGTCCCCCTAAGTATTTCGAAAACTACGCATCCTAGAAAAAAGTTTCAATAAAAATTTGTAGGGAACCTTGACCGTAACAACCTCCAAGGTTATTTTAAGGTCAAGCGTATATTTTGAAATTCAACCCTTTTTACACCGGAATTGGAAAGAGGGGGAACTGTTACGTCCGAATATGATCTTGCGTATGACCACCAAGAGCTGCAAGGTGATTTCAAAGAGAAATCAAGAAAATGAAAACAATTTGCTCTAGCAAAAATAGTCTACAGCAAAGTTGTGAAGTTTGTGGAGGTCACCCAAAGGTGACCTTTTGCATCACATTCAAGGCCATGTCTAAATTACTCTATGCAATTTTGGCATAAAAATATCATTTAGAATTTCCTGCTTTTTCCAATTCCAGGAAAAAAAATGGCGTCAAGTAGATTGACTCTATACTTCATACACATTCGTTGGAGCTTTCAAAGAAAAGGGATGATTCAAATCGTTTCAAAAGGCGAATACGAATCGTGATTAGGTACGTTCACTTAGGTAAATATGGATAAATCTTCGACCTCTGCATATCAAACTATATATAGAGTAAATCTATCATAATTCTCTTTCCATGGCAGATGTAGGGAAAACGCAGGGTCTGTCAGAAAGAACGCATATTGCCTCTCCCGAAATGAGCCCATTGCGTGGCCTGCATCCGTGCAGGAATTTGGGTTACGTCTCTTCTTATTTCCTCCTTCAAATCGACGAGGGTCCACCGCTTGCTTTGGTAAACTTTTGATTCCAGGTAGCCCCATAAAAAAAAATCACACGTTGACAGGTCCGGGGAGCGAGGAGACCATGGAATATCGCCATGACGTGAAATGAGACGTCCTGGGAAATTTTGCCGAAGAAGTTCCATCAAAGTGCGAGTTGTGTGAGATGTTGCTTCGTTTTGTTGGCACCACACTGTTCTGAGACGGACACGTCGACGTCGAAGTTTCGGAAAAAAAAGTTGTTCATCATGTGAATGTAACGAACGCTTTGCATTCACAGTAGTTGTTTCTCCCTCATCCTCAAAAAAATAAGGGCCAATAATCATCGTTGGGCCTACTGCACACCAAACTGTAACTTTCGGGGTATGCAGGGAGTGCTCATGCAACTGTTGGGGGTCCACTGGAGACCAATATTGACAATTTTGTTTATTGACGTATCAATGTAAATGAAAATGTGCTTCATCACTCATAAACAACGTCACGTCATTGTTATCCAACTGTTCAATCATGAGCTGTGCAAAATTAACAGGTTGTGCATAATCCCCTTGCAACAGTTGTTGACATTGGATTTTGTAAGGATGGAACACTAAATCCTTCTTCAAGATGCGACGTACAGAGGACGCGTGGATCCCTAGGGAACTGGCACGCAAACGGACGGAACGATTCGGGCTTTGCAGCGTGTCAACTCTCACTCTATCTACGTTTTCGGGGGTTCTAACAGTACGGTTTTGCCCTTGCGGGTTTTTCTTCATCACATTATCTGTTTTGTTAAATGCTTCCACCCATCTCAAAATGGTGTTACGGTCTGGTACTGTGCAGTGGCGAAGCGTCCATTTAACCATTGTTACCATTGGTAACAGTTTAATCTTAAAAATAAATATTTTATGACTAAGTACTGTGAAATAATTTCATTTATTTGTTTACCAACAGCGGTATGTAATAGTAATTCAGTAAATAGCAAATTAGCCCCACAAAAATAATGCGCCCTATAGTGTCTAGGTTTTGCGAACACGATGACGCTGACTCGCCTCGACTTAGTTGTCGGTTCGGTTGTTACCATTTTCATTTATGGATACACTAGGTAGTCCGTCGGGGACCGTCGGAACCCGCTCGTGTCTGATCGCGGTCGCCGGATTTGGTTACTCACGTCTCACTCGTTAGTAGCCGTTTTGGTTACTGGCTGTAGTGTGCGTGCAATTAAACTTGGATGAGTGTCGCTGCATAATCGATCAACTACTTGAAAAGTCATTCTCCTTGTATAATTTTTAAGAAAAATAAGGATATCATTGAAAATGTAATACCACCTACTTTAGATAATTTTAAAAAGGAATAAAAAAACGTAGTTTGATATTTTAAATTAAGTTGGTATATGGAACCTTTTGGTTATGTGGTTGCAAAAAAACAAATTGTATTGTTGGAGATGTCTTCTGTTTTATACAGAAAAAAATTGGTGGCTCAGCAGCGGAGTCAACGATTGAAATAGTTTTAGGGCTCTAAAGAGGAGACATGAAATTTCTCCGTTACATGTGAGATGTGTAGCCAATTTAATTCAGTTTGGCAAAACAAGGATCGAAAGTTGTTTTAACCAAGCTTTTAGGCAGCACACTTCTAGATACCGTATGTTTTTTGGCAAAACAGGAATTACCGTTCATTTTGAAGGGGATGACTCTGACCATAAAGGAAATTACAGGGAATTAACATTCATTGTCAAAAAAGATCAAAAATTTTCCGAACATCTAGAAACGTCGACTGTTTTTTCGGACGGCTTGGATTAGTCATAGCATAAGACGATTAGGTATATCAAGTGCCTCAGACGCTCAGTCCAGGAATGTTTACCTTAATTTGAAAATAGTTTAAATAAAATACCTAAAATAAGCAAAAAATTATATCTGGGAGGTTCAAAATAAACTTTTTTATAAGATTTTTCACATCTGGTTTTGGTAACAGTCTAGGAAAAGTCACGCGTCGGCACTGGTACTGTCCCACGACGTGGAACACTAAAGTGAACGCAAAACTCACGTTGCGTTCCAACGACATACTCGCCATGTTGAAAGAACCGACGTACAGTGAACACACGATGCTCAACGTTCCAAACCATCTTGCCAACTGAAACGGCACTTCTCCCACTATCCAACACGCCCTTCCCCACCGACACGGGACCAGCCCACTCGATGTAGTACCCATTCGAAAAACATGCGTTCTTTCTGACTGACCCTGTATGTGTGACTTATTATGTCTAACAGGTGCATAGGATCACTGAGATCAGCAGCTTGTTAATAATGGAAGGTCTTTCACTGACTCCAAATCTGCAACAATTTACACATTTATCGCATACACCTTCCAACCAACGGGTTTCATCTCCTCCAAAGAATGTCTGAAAATGAGCAGGAATCTCTGAAACGTGGTAACACTACGTTCCAGTAATTTTATTCCCGCCGTTCACAAATTTTCTGTTGCTTAAAGATATCTGCTTTTCTTAAGTCAGTGTTTTTCATTTATATCGATTTGTCAGTTCGTATCTGTCATATATCAATGCGTCATAAGTACTGAGTTAATCTACTTAACAAAATATTCAGAGAACCATCATATCGGAGTAATTCAGATTGAAAGCAGTCGAGATAGGTGGTACATTTTAGGATTATAAAACTCAGAAAAATATATGGGTAGATATAAAAGACAGCTATCATTTACAAAAGCATCGCGGAATGCTAAAGTGGTACGTACTACGATAATATCCAAATATTGCTAAAATATACAAATTTGTCTCCTGTAGCTGTCAGTGATGACACCATCCCAGGCCAGTTGGAGTTTGTTACCCATTGCAGAGTCGGCAGTGGCCTCTACGACGATATATGTACTTATTATGAGCACATGATACATCGTGATTTGATCATTTAATTTTTCCGTTGTTGCCAGGATCAGAAGCTTCTTAACCCGCCAGTTTCAACCGCTACGAAAAATCGATCGATTTTCAAAAACTACAAAGATTTTTCATCCTCTGCCTTGTGTGGAAATTTCATCACAAAGTTCTTGGCGGTTATGAAATTAGCGGAAATGTGTGACACTGTTTTTCGTGATGTACATGTCATATAACATCCAAAAAAGATATCAAAATTTAGAAATTTCTCGCGCCGAAATCGTACAACTTTTGTTGTGGGTATCTAGGATGCACTGTTTTCGAAATATTTAGGCGTGAAGATTAAAATGGGACATCCTGTATTTTCCAAAGAATAGGTTTGAAATAAACTATAGTCCATATATATAAACTATAATCCACTTCAATGTCTGTCTTGCCACTAAAAATAATAATGACCATAACATGAGTTTTACAATAATAATAAAAATAGTTACTGTTGGGAGCATCGGAAGCATACGGAGAAATTTTCCTTTTTCTCATTGATGGAGGTAATAAATAATGGTATGGTTTTTTAGTACGGGATCTTGAAGGTCGTTTGTTTGTCGCTATTTCACCAGGCTTCACGATTTCTAGTGGATCATCGCATACTGTACCAGAATCTTTCAGAGTTCTTTCTTCATCAGTAGACTCAGACGCAGTCTTTCCATCGATTGTTTGATCTTTAGATGTGGACGGAAGTTCCTGCGTCACTAGTGGGACACTGCAAAGATTTTTAGAAACGACAGTTTGAAACACTGATTGAAATTTACTAAAAATGTGAGTGCATTTGAACAGTGATCAAATTACCAAGCTGAAATTTAGGGTAACGATATTTATGCACATTTTGTCATAAAAAATGGAGTTGCAAACTTAAAGATGGCGATTGCACGCTAATGTAGAACATTTTTTATTGATTACTCAAGAATTCAAATGGTGACACTGTGTTCTGAAATAACTGAATCATTTTTTGATAATTTAATTTCTTCACCAATATCCAGTTAAACCATGACCATGAGGATATTTTTCAATAAATTTTTATAGTCAGTCTCTGAAATGTTGAATTATGATTTATTCGTGATAATCTGTTTTTGTCAAAATCACAAAATACTCTGCTATTTCGGACATCAAAGTATAGCAATCCTTCATTATTTGTAGAAATTTGAATATATTCCAAAAATTAAAAATTAAAGTAAAAAACTTACTTTTCCTTATGCGCCAGGCATAAATCAATCTCTTGGAGTTCTTCCATAACTGGATTGAGATTACCGTCTTGCTCCAGTGACATGTCTACTGAACTCTCCAAATATGCAAGTATATCAGATGCTACTTCATCGCTTATCGAATCAGACATTATTTCAATTCTCTGGAAGTGTATATAGGGTTGTTTCAAAATTAAGCTAAAATATTTATGGATGCGATCCTTGGGTTAATTTTGAGAGACAAGCTTCATATGTCCTAAACGTCTTGAATTTTGAGATACAAGGTAGTAAATGAACTTCTCCCTTAACCGCCGTAGTGCGGTCACTGAGACCGCAGCACATATTTATTTCTATATATCTTACCCCTACTTGAATATATACTAAGTGACATATAAATCCGAACACCCAGTTTAAGTGGTTTTATTTTAATAAAATTTTGTATAAGTACTTAATGAAGCATTATAAGTAAATGATAAAAATTTCAAAATGATTGCACTGCTTTAAAGCCCTTTGATCTTTAATAATGTGTGGATGCACCCTGATGTGCTACGCATTCTCCAACGCGCCTAGGCATGCTTCTGATCAGGTGGTCAATGTCCTCCTGTGGTATCTCATTCCAGGCAACCACCAACTCCTCTCGAAGTGCTTCTAGAGTCTGAGGAGGACGTTGCAAATTGAGCAATCTCCTACCCATCATATCCCACACGTGCTCAATTGGGGATAAGTCAGGAGATCTTGGTGGCCATGGTAACAATGTGACATCATTATGTTGAAAGAAGTCTATTGTGACTCTTGCAACATGTGGTCGGGCATTATCTTGTTGGAAAGTTGGATCTGCCAGGGTGTCAAGATAGGGTAAAAGATGGGGTTCTAGAACTTCGTGGATACAACGCTCATGTTACCTCTGATGAAGATTAAAGGTGACCTGGAACCATAAGCTATAGCACCCCAAACCCAAACTCCAACAGTGTGATGAACAAAAAAAACTGTGGATTCCTCCTTTCACCACGTCGCCTTCTAACCCTGGCACGACCATCGTGCATGCCTAAAAAAAATCGAGACTCGTCACTAAAGACAATACTGTTCCATTCCTGATCCCAGAGTGACCGTTGTCTGCACCACTCAAGGCGATTACGTCGGTGTTCTCTAGTTAAAGGGAGGACCCAGTGTGGCCGGTATGAAAACAAGCCAAAACTTCTCATTCGTCTCATTGACGAAATCGTACAGGTCTCCGTACTCTAGGCATCGTAACCGATCGTAAAGGATGTCACGAACCAAAATCCGCCAACGTTGATTCTTTACTGCGGCTGAAATATTCATTTTTAGAGCGTTAGTGAATTAAAAAAAAGCAGTATAAAAACCGGAATGTCCAACTGATAAGGCTGAAAATTTTTTCACTTGTTATTTACAGTAAGATAAATACATTCACCAACTTTTATTAAAATAAAACCATTTAAACTGGGTGTTCGGATTTATATGTCACTTAGTATAATTAGGCAATATCCTCGCTACCTTCAAGTGACCACGGGGTCAGTTTGTCGCTAAAAGTTGAAGGTGGCACTTTTATCGGTTTACAATAGAAGAACGACAAAAGTTACAGAGCGGTCACAGTGACCGCCAGTGTGGTTTCCTGTCAACTTTGCGGTTTATTTTTGGCAGCACGGATCCTCAAGAATGAATCGGAATTATACTACAGGGTTTCCCAATAGGGATGATAGGATTTTAACAGCATGCTGCCGCCATCTTAGTTGTCTGTTCTCTGACAGCTGAGTTATTTTGTGTTCAGTAAGGCAGTTTGGAAATCGTCTAAATATTCTACCAAAGTTCGAGAAGTGTTGTCGCTGCTCAAAGAGCATATCGTGCTAAATATGGTCTTCATGGTGCACTGTCTCAGCTCGATAAACGTCGCATAATTCAAAAACTGGAAAGTGAATATTCTTTGCACGATAGTAGACCACCAACTAGAATGCGATCTGGTCATAGTTACTTGATATTTGTGGGGTAAATCCACATGTTCTTCATCAGTCGTTTAAAAACAGCACAAAGATCGAAAAAGCAGACTTTCTAAAAATTCTTGCTGATCAATTGGTAAGACCCCATCTAATTAGAAAATACAAAACTAAAGCGTGACATTCGGACTACAATTCGTAGAATTATATCATTCCCTGACCGTGCTGAAGAGGATGTTCCGGAGAAAAAATTATAAAAAAAGAAAAGCATGTCACACTTGTCCACCAAGAATTAAAAGAAAAACTTTTCATTAAGGTAAAATGTGCCATAAGCCTACTTGTTTTGAGCATTCGTCAAAAATTTGTTAAAATTTTAAACACAATCTTTGACTTCTTCACCCCTTGTATTTTTTTATTCCGTTCAAGTTATCACTCAAACTAATTAATGTATCAGTGGACAGTTTATTCATATTTTAGAATCTGTTGCTAATTCCGCATAGAATATTGTGTTTTGTTTTATAGCTAAGCTAAGGACTTTGTGTAAAAATATGTCGAAATGAATGATGTTCGACGTTTTTATTTTTTTAAATGAAGTATGGTATGTTATCTGTTACTTCAGGCCTCATTCTAGTCTGCCTGAATATTTACAACACGCAACATTTTTTGTAATTGAGATTGTTAGTAATGTGCGGTCACTGAGACCGCACTACGTTAATGACTTACACACTTTCTGCACTACGGTAGTTAAGGGTTAATATAATATATGGTACGCCCCTGCCTATTATCTAAATAAAATTATTACTATATTTATTCACATTACTATTAATCACAATATTTCTTTATTCAACGAATCATCAAGCGATGACATGGAATGCTCATCAGAAGAAGAAAAAACTGGTGCAATGTGCAAATATGAAAAGAACACTTAAAGGACGACATTAGGATAAAGAATATGAAGAATCTATTCTTGAGTTTGAGGCAGCAGAAATTGTGAGAGAAAGTGGCAAAAAGTGGGTGTGGCCAAGAAATTCTTGAAATCAATTCTGCCGGAAAGTGATAGAAATTAATTCACTTTAGGGAGTCGCGATTTCTCTTGGTACCGACTAAGAGAAACTGGAGTTTGGCATTGTTATTGACGTTCCCGTTAAACATATTGCAAAAAATGAATAAACTCCATCAATTGATGTATTCGAACGATATTATTAACGAGGTTGTAGAGGAGGCAGTTGAGGAATGGGACATTGGGAGAGATATTCTTGGGCACCGAGATCCTTTCATAATTTCGGATCGAAACAGATGTTTAGGTTGACCAAAGATTTGGTGTATGAATTGCTGGTTATTGACTCCATTCATACAACCAGCCCCACGAGCTTCTGCACTTTTGATCACAACAAGGGGAAGAGTAGATGTCAAGTTTTAGTTATTCTAAAACAGTATCCTTTAATCTATGCTTGAATTTTCCCTGGTGCATTTGGGGGTGCGACTGATCAGGAGACCGAAGAGTCTACTACTGCGGCCACCGCTGCTGCCTGGTGTGTAAAATTACCAAGGTTGGGAGCGCATAAATGTACTAAACTCAAAATATTGAGATAAAAACTCCCCAACCCCCCCCCCCTACAAACCCCACCTCTAAACTTTACCGCCTCTAAATTTTTTTCAAAATTAATCAGGGTCTTCTGAAACTTCAAAGTTTGAGCGATTTTTATCTTTTTTCGTTTTAGGCCTTTTTCTCTGCCGCCACTGGACCGATTTGCAAAAACTACAAAGCCATAAAAAGGGTCCATATAAACAATTTTTATAAGTTTTTACACATAAACCACAAGTCGGTAAAAACAAAATGAAGTAAATGAGAACAATAACAATTATTTTTGTTACATAAAAAAATAGTGGCGCGCCGTATTTTTCATCAAAAACAATTTCGTCCAATTCGCCAAGCGAACACCACTGGAAGAAACAAAAAATGTATCACAGAAAATGTTTTTTAGGTATAGTCTTCCTGTACCAAATTCCAGCAAAATTTCTCAAATGTTAAGATTTTTGGAACATACATTCATATGATATTTTTTCCTCAAAAGGAATCCAAGAATCGTCCCCTCAGATATCTTAATTTACTTTTGAAACACTCTGCATGCAGGTAGAGTAATCTCAAAACTGAACAGTTAAGTAGTGTAAGGAAGACAAAGCATATGCAAAAAATGTCTGATAAGTGAAGAATTTATTATATAATTATTATATTGGCATGTTGGTTAAGTTTGAATTATCAATGCGGCTAGACTTCGCCATGAATAAAGACGATATCTATTTATTCATGTTAATGGGCTTTTGTTTTCCTTATCAAAGCAAGGATATCCAGTTTCAAAATTTCCTAACCGGCATACATCTGTTGTATACAAAATTAATAAAACACAACAGTCGGCACATTGTTGTTAACGTTACGTTCAAATGATTTAATACAGTGCTCTTCAAAAAGGCCTCCCTCCCAATTAGTGTTTTGAATTGGTGAAGCTATCAAGCTGAAGTTTTGAGTAATGAAATTAATGCATTTCAAGATGGCGGCTGGGCGCCATTTTAGAACTTTTTTGAAATGTAACGAGGGGTCCTGTGATATTTCATTTGCCCTTATGCGTACTTGAGCCCTAGAATATAAAATGACCGACCTTGCTTGAAAATGACGACCTGGCAGCCTGTCAAAGTTGAACGTTGTTGTACATTGAATAACCTATAACTCAACAACCAATCATCAAAACATTATATATATATGTATGTATGTTTCATCTATCTCCCTCTCTTAGAACAAATATGCCATAAAATATTAAGCATTGTATTTAGAAAAAAATGTCAAAATGTGTCAAATTTTTAAATTGGATTTCCCATATTTCATTCGGAAGATTTTGATGATTAATGCTGAGTTATAAGCGATCCAATGTACAGAAACGCTAAAATTGCACAGTCTGCTAGTCCGCCATTTTGAGAAAAGATATCACACGAGTCTGGCCACCATCTTGAAATTTTCAACTGTTATTTTTATCCCACTTTCATTATCCCAAATTTCAGCTTGCCAACCCGTGTAAAAAATAAGTAGCGGGATTGAGGGGGACCTATTTGAAAATCACTGTATCTGTATACATTTCGCATATTTTTTTGCGAAGAATGAGCAGCAGTTGGTATCTTTAGCAGTTTCCAGATTATCTTCTGGATACCCTTGCCATGAACTATTCAACAAAATTATAAAACTAGGAATCGTAACTACCAATTTCCACTGACAATCGGGATTAGATTACTCAGAGCACAGTAAATTTGAGTTATGATGAGTACTACCTCCTATTAGTGTTTGGAATTTGAAGTAGCTGTTCACATCGAAAGCTAAGATCCTATTTATGACGTGTTTCATATTTAACATGAAAGGTGGCCATTAATATTGTTGTAATTCAAGAAATTCAAGCCCAAGCCTTTGAAAAAAAAAAAACAGAATATTATCTACAAAAATATTTGTTTCTTTTCATAACCCCCCCCCCCCGCTCGTCAATTTTTAATCGCCGCTACCTCCTAAATCCGCCCTAGAGAAGTACGTAAAGTAAAAACGGCTGGTATCACCGAGTTATCGATGCATGCAATCTATATCTATCTTTGGATAAAAAATAAAATAAATCAATACAATAAAGTTCCTACCTCAGGCGCGGATCCAGGATCACGTCTTGGGGGGCAAGCAGTATGGGTTACCTACTTTCAGGGGGTGTTGTTAAGTCGTTTGTGCTTATTATAAAGTATTTAAGAAGGGAAAACAGCAGTGCGAGAACATTTCCTTTTTTTTTCTGCAAGTCTGAGGCCTTGGGGATGGGCAATGGCACCGTTGCTCCTCCCTGGATCCGCGCCAGCCTCACCAAAAATCAAACTATGATAAAAAGGTGTGTATATCTCTGGGACCTTGTCTGTGAGAAATATAAGATCATTATATTTCTTTTTTCCTAACAGAAAAACTTATTGTCAGCTATTTTTATGTGCTATTTCATTTCAAACCGTCCTACCCGTTTTGGTACCTTTCATGGCGCACTGAAATCTCTGGGTAAGAACATTGTAACTACATTCGCGCAGTATATTACGAGCAACATCATTGTGAAACAACTTTACGCTGTGTCAGGTATTTTTTTCAAGCAAGATACAGATAACATGTAACCTGTGCTAACATCTTGCTCCAAGCACAGCTCAATATTAAAATCATAAAAATAAAATCTGCCCTTGTGCACAACCAACCATTTTGGATTCAACAGGCTTTACATGGTATTTCAAAAATGTTAATTGGGTTATAAGGCATGTTATCTAAAACACTGAAAAGGATTATGTGAAAGTCACTTATTATATTGTTTTTCCTTACGTTTATTATATTATACCTTTGTATCACCAGCACACTGTACTCTTCGTAGAACAAACGTTATATTATGTTTTGGTGTATTCCATGAACTGATAGACTCGAATTCTCGAATGTACTAGGTTTCGTAGGGCTGTTAACGACTGTTCTAGAACTATCAGGAGCATGCGCAGAAGAAACCGACGTGTTAAGGCGCGTACCCACTCTAGCGATCGCACGGCGATGAGCGCATGCGGTTGGTAAATGTGGACGTGAATAAATAATGGCATTTCGCTGAGCAGACGGAAGCATTCGGCTGGGAAGAGGTTCGCTAGCTTATAGGTAACTTCAAAGGGAAGTTGCCCTATGCCCGAACACAGTGTGTACCTGTTTCCGTGCAAGGAGCTGATGACATCATTTGCGCTACCTTCTTTTTATTTTGATAGATATTTTTCCTCGCAAATTATATCCCTTGACTCTATCCACCTCAAGATATAAAAGTGCTGTACCTAATCTACTAATACAGTTGAGTGTACAAAAATATCGGTGCTGTACCGCAAGCACAGATACTGTTTCACGCCATTTTCCTTCCTCAAATTATATTTTTGTTTTTCAATGAGTGGTTTGTTCTTTTCCATACTAGGTAGGTATGTATTATTTTTCGCATTTACAAGAATATTGAATGATAAAAGTAACGTATCCCTTTTCGAGCGCCAATGCAGGAAAATATATAATTCGTGAATCTTCGGCAAAATATGCCCCGGCACCATTGGTCAGACAGCTCCGAAGATTCTCGAACGTCATGGAAATGATAGCAGCTTCTGCTGCATAGGCGTAACCAATTCAAAATGGAGAGGGGTCAGAGTTCTGAAATGAAAAGTAGACTATCCCTGTAGATTTTTAGTAGAATAAGAGTTATTTACAAACCAACAACACTACACAAAAGACAACTCGAACTCAATCGTTGCGTTATCTGTCATCCCCGTAACATAAAACAAAAGACTGTGACTATTCGTCATTCAAAACGAATAGTGCTATTTAGGATTAGGAACCTTATTTCTACCATACCTCTAATAGAGGTCTTTTGCCCTGATTTTAATGCAAATTACCATGGTGCCTTGTACAGGGTGGCCCATAAGTCCTTTGAGCTGGAAAAAAGGAATAAAACCAAACTAGTTACATTATGAAGAATTATTATATTTTGTTATCATCTTTATTGAATGGGAATTATGTTTTAAAAATCACATCGTCTAAATGCAATCCATTACGATCACGGCACTCATATAAACGACGTCTAAAATTGTCGATGACTGCGCGGCAAGTCAACACTGTAATGCTTGCCATTTCTCTTCGGATATTTTCTTTCAGGACATCAACTGATCGCGGAGTGGTGTCGTACACTTTACTCTTGAGGTAGCCCCATAAAAAGAAGTCCATTGGGGTCAAATCTGGACTACGGGGTGGCCAGGAAATGTCTCCTCTTCGAGAAATTACTTTGCTGGGAAAAAGTTGACAGACGACGGACATAGAAGTGTTGGAGGTGTGGGCAGTTGCTCCGTCTGCGTATTATAGCCTGGACAATTCTGCAACGCTGGTGTCAAAAACTCTTCTATCATTGCTACATACCGCTCCGAAGTAACAGTTAATGCGCGACCTCTGTCGTCCTCGAAAAAATAAGGGCCTACGATGCCATGCGCTGACATAGCAGCCCAAACTGTAACTTTAGGGCTGTGTAAGGGCTTCTGATGCTTACGTCTTGGATTTTCGGGGCTCCAATAACGGCAATTTTGTTTATTTACATGCCCGTTTAAATGGAAGTGAGCCTCGTCCGAGCGAAGAAAATCGATTCAACGTTTCATTCGCAAAGTATAGTCTCTGAATAGTGTCATTATCTTTTAAGCAGACGTAAATCTTTCCTTAAAATCCGCTGTAAAGATGTTCTGGGTACGTTTAGTGCCCTGGAACGCTTACGAGTAGACTGGGTAGGATTTTGACGAACAGACTGTGCCACAATGTTGGTGTTTTCTTCAATACGAGTTGTCCTTGGTCGACCCCACGGCTGTTTATCTGACGTCGAACCAGTCTCTTCGAACTTAGCAACCCAGTTCGTTTGAGCTGTTGGACACTTTGTAAAATTGTGTAAATTGTGGTATTCTCGATATTTACGCCGCGCAATGGTTGCCGAATCATTATTTTGATAAAACGCGCGCACACAAAAAGCACGATCCGCTCCAGTGAAACACTCCATGGCGACTGAATTCCCAGACACTGAAGATACTGCCCCCACCTCGCCCGCGTCGCTCACGCTCACCCGTTAAATTTTATTCAAATTTGAAATTTCAAAGGACTTATGGACCACCTGTAGTTAGTCGGACGGGCGAAAGAGTATTTATTAACGTCTACCTTTTGAGACTGAGAGAGTAACTGGACATCTTTTGCGGTACCTTCTTTTTATTTTGATAGATATTTTTCCTCGGAGATTATATCCCTTGACTCTATCCACCTCAGGACATAAGATAAGAGTGATCAGCGAATAATGGCATATTTCTACACTAAGGTACGTAAAGTACTAATACAGTAGAGTCTTCAAAAATATCGCTTTTGTACCGCAAGCACAGACACTGTTTTACGCCATTTTCCTTCCTCAAATTATATTTTTGTTTTTCAATGAGTGGTTTATTCCTTTCCATACTGTGTATTATTTTTTGCATTTCGCAAGGATATTGAATGATTAGAGAAACTTATCCCCTTTCGAAGCCCATTCCATGAAAATTTATCATTCGTGAATCTTCGGCAAAATATGCCCGGCACCACTGGTCAGACAGTTCCGAAGGTTCACGAACGTCATGGAGAGGATATTATTTATCAGCTTTTGCTGCATAGGCGTAACCAATTCAAAACGAAGGGGGTCAGAGTTCTGAAATGAAAAGTACACTATCCTGGAGTTGTCTTTTGTGTGGTGTTTTTGCTACAGAAAAGACAACTCGAACTCAATCGTTGCATTATCTGTAATCGCTGTAACATAAAACAAAAGACTGTGACTGTTCGTCATTCAAAACGAATAGTACTATTCGGTGTAGTTTTGTGCTATATTTAGTATGGGGAACGCCATACCTCTGGAAGAGGTATTTTGCTCTGGTTTTAATACAAATAACCATTGTGCCTTGCAGTTAGTCGGACAGGCCGAAAGCGTATCTATTTTTGAGACTGAGTGGACATCTTTTGCGGTACCTTCTTTTTATTTTGATAGATATTTTTCCTCACACATTGACACTATTTACATCAGAATATAAAGCTGATCAGCGAATATTGGCATAATATAAGACTAATCAATCGCCAAACGAAAAGTGGTCAGAGTTCTGAAATGAAAAGTACGAGTTACGAGTTATAGCTTTAACGTATTGGGACACTGGATGTATCAATCTATGTAACCTACTGATGAGACTACAACAGCAGGAGGAAAGGTCCGATGCCATTTTAGTGTAGTCACGCTGGATAATGCACGAAACGTGCAGCCCTGATATCTTCCAGTTACATATCCAGCTGATTCTTGAATGAATTAATTGACGGTTGTTGCACTCACTGTTCCTTCACTAAGAGAGGCTCACAAGTAGACCACACGATTTAAAATGAAATTTTCTCTTACCAACTTAGATCTCATCTTTTGCTAATTTTTTGTATATGAAGATTTTGACTCACATTGAATATTTGGAGGGCACGTGTTATCGGTTAACCATTTGTTCTCGAATGCATACAAGCATACATAAATAAATAAATAATCTTTATTGGTTCTGTAGATCATTTGTCATGACAAAGAACACGTCAAGGTTCTCTATTTTGAAAATTACCAAAAGCATCCCAAAAATAGATAAATAAAAACAAAAACAATACACATATGAAATATATGACAGTCACATAAACAATGATCAAAGAAATACAACACTGTACATATTAAAATAATTTGGCCAAGTTATATAAATAAAATACAAGAATCATAAATAATATGCTACAGTAGAAAATGCATATGAGGCTAATACAGAGCTGACATTTGAAATAGTTTAGCATCTTAATCTGGCTGGATATCTAAGAAATATTCGTCCAAAGAATAGTATGTGTTTGATTTACGCTTACTTCTTTTTTTGACAGTCTATGAGCAGGAATCTGCAGGACAAGCGAATTCCTAGTCGAGTCCTTATTATGGTTGTTTAATTTTGGAAACTCAGCTAATTTAGATTTCACATGTGTCAACACTTCAAAGATATATATATAGATGGTAAAGTTAAAATTCCAACCGCTTGAAAGAATCTCCCCAGCTGGTCCTTCTGCTCAGAACTAACAGTGAACGCACGTCTCGTTTTTGCTTAGTCCTTAGACGTTACTCATACAGCAAATGTACGTCTTGTATAGCTTTTTTATCACTGTACCAAAATTCTTGTCTTTGTACGGTATTTTTTGTTTCTGATCAAAATAGAAACAATAAAAGGAAATGTAATAATGAACAAATTTATTCACAATTACAACAAAGTCATTACAAGAACACATGGAAATAATAAATCCAGTTGCAAAAAGGGCTAACAAAGAAGAACTGATAAAAGTGCCTGACCCTGTTGAAAAAAATATGAGTATTATGCTGTAAAAATAAGCGAAGTAACTTGATTAAATAAATATACAGTGTGTTAGGGAAATAATATTCGTAACTTTAAGAGGTGATTACTTGCATTATTGTAAGCAAAAAAGTTCATTATAACCTTTGTCCGAAAATAATTGGTTTCGGAGCAAAAAAATGCTGAATTTGTTTCTTTTTAGTCATGAAATAAATTAAGTTTGCACCTTAATAATTTAAATTTTAATTTGCCTAATAGGGTAAAATGTATCAATACATCTATTTATTAATTAACTGTCGCTAACAAAATAATTTTCTTGCTTATTAAATACAATTTTCCGAAAAAAAAAAACAGACAAACAAAATCCCTTACACAACTGGCAACGTCGTACTCCGCCTGAACTGCATGTATCATCGCGTGTTGTAACTGTAACTTTGTGTGATTTACGGATGTTGTTTTTTTTCTTTTTTCGTGCATCGCATCGTTTCAAATAAGCGACTGATAATCATGGGAATTGGTGGTGTGCCACGTACCGGTAAGTTCTGACATTTTTTGTAAGTAAATGTACTGTACTGAAACCGTCATTAAATAAAAAATATTAGCCACAAAAATTGCGTAAAGGTATTCAATAATTCAAGCCATATTTTCAACAAACGAAAACAATTTGATGAATCAGTTGCGCTCGTCGAGCGCTCGTATCGCGGTTGCGTTGCAACGTTGCCAAATGTTTGAGAAAATTTAATTATTTACGACTCACTTTCCTCGAAAACGATCGATTTTCGGACATAAGTTATAATGAACTTTTTTGCTTAGAATAATGTAAGGAATCAACTCTTAAAGCTACGAATATTATTTCCCTGACACACAATATATTAGAGACTGAATAAGATTCAGAAGAGGAAAAAAAAGTGACAGACGATATGGGTTCTGCTGGATTAATCATTGAAGAATTATTATAAGGCTAATATATGTAGACATTATTTGATTTTTCAGTTTGTAATACTTTCTATTGTTGAATTTCGACGATTTGGCGCATGGATTTTCAAAATAGAAGGGGATTGCATTATATATCCAATAAGCATTATATGTAAATGATCTCTCAAATCTAAAAATTCTGTGTAGAGGAGGAAGAGAAGCGGAAGTTACTACGGACATTTAGGTTATGGACATCATGTCTAAATTTTATCTTATTAAATAAATATGGAGATGTGTTGATAGTGACGATGTTATAAAATGATGCTGATCAATGACGTTTTTTTTTGTCAAGGTTATCATAGGAGTACAGACAGGACGAGGAGTATCTCAGATATTTCTATTTTTCACCATATGCAAATCCTACCTTGAATAAAGTAAGAAAGTATGTTATAAAATCAAAATTTATTATGTAAACTGTATAACAAATGCAACATGATATAAAATACATCTCAAAGTAGAACTATTGCAATATTCTATTTTATACTCGCAACTGCCTTTCTGGCAGCATCATCAAGGTCCTCAGCAGTAATGATGTCAAGTCCTGATTGCTTAATTATCTTTCTTGCTTCAATGGCATTTGTTCCTTCCAACCTTACTACTAAAGGAACTTTGAGCTGAGTAGTTTTCATTGCGGAGACAATACCATTAGCGATGGTAGCACAATTAACAATACCACCAAAAACATTAACCAGGATAGCCTTCACTTTTTCGTCGGAGGTGATTATTTTAAAGGCAGCACATACTTGTTCTTCTTTTACACTACCGCCCACATCTAAGAAGTTAGCTGGATCCCCTCCGTGGAGTTTAATAATGTCCATTGTCGCCATAGCGAGACCAGCACCATTCACCAAACACCTAAAAATTAGTGAATATACAGTGCTGGCCATAGTCGTGTTCCCTTTTAGATTTCTGTAGATGTGTACGTGAGACAGAGGGAACAGCGTGCGAGAAAGAGTGCGCCATATAGGCGTCGTCACCACGTTCCCTGGCAATGAAAGTGGGGGAGGAGTTACAGACGCGCTGCGCACCCTCCTCCACTGTCGATGAGAGGCAATGTGATGACGACATTTATATGGCGAATTCTTTCTAACACGCTTCTCACTTTTTCTCTCTCTCTCTCTGTCTCTCTCGTACACATAGAAATCTAAAATGAAGAAAGACTTCCGCCAGCATTATGGTGTGCTATTCATTAATATCTGATAATAGAAGTAGTTAAAGAGTTAGTTATAACCAAAGAGCAGTTATATAAAAAGACACATCTAGGAATGTGTAATCCACCAGTCGGCCCAACTGACCTTGGGAGTCGTTTGCATTATAGTAGGGAAGACGCTCGTACATTTCTTGTGACATCATCGCGTACTGGTATGCGACAATAAAAACTAGCCAAATCTTAGGTATTTGATGATAGACAAACCCAAGATTTTATTAGTTTTTAACATGCCATATCAGTACGCGATGCAACCGAAACTCTGCGTTCCGCTGTTGGACTATTACTGGTTCACAAATAAAACAGCTATCTATGTCCTTGGCTACCTAGGGCGTATCACTTAGGAGGGGACAGCTGCCCCCCTTCTTCCTTAGCTCGGCAAGAACTAAATGGAGAGAACATTTTTTACAATAATTGAATTATTCATGAAGGGTTCTCCACAAGATAAATCAATATCTATTTGATGAGAAATTACTACGATTAGCTGAAATCTATGTTAGATATAAACTTAATTTTGCTAAAAAGTACTATTATGTTACGTGTGTTTCAAATTCGAACCTCGCGTTTGGGATCTCGGTAACGGAAAAACGAATGTTACTGACGGATCACAGTAAATACTGATCTTGTGACATTCGCTTAAACGACACAGAGTACTTTATGGGGGCAAGTTGCTTAGGTAAATAAAAAATGGAACTTGGACAGTTTGGAAATTCTAAGTATTTACTCTAAGTCGTCTACAAATTTCAAACAAATTACACAATCACACCACCACTTGTTGTCTTCTGCACTGTGGCATAATTAGAATTTTGATCTCACGTTACAGCTCTCATTTTTTGAAATCATACCGTTTTCAATGTCTTCATTATTACCCTTAAATAATATAAATGAGTTACGCAATGTTGTTCCTCATTCGATCAGTTTAAACCAACTATATGAAGTTAGGCACTTGAAGTTTTATATCAATGTGTAACATATTATCTTTGAGATCCTGTAAAAGAAATGACTATATTACAATTTCAAGAATTACTCAGAAAAATGGCATACATAAGAAAAATCAAAGTGGAGATGGGGGATACGAATTATTTATGATACCTTGCAGAGATCAAAAAGTGGCAATGTCAATGTGCAGTTTATTTTGAAATCCTATCTCAAATAAATTCAGAAATTAGATACGATTTTTGGAAAATTCGTTCCCGTTTCCATGTATCTCTGAAGATACTGGAAGGGTCAAAACTTGTCAAATGCATTTTCTGAAGTACATATATAAATAAGGAACTTTGCCACCATTCTAGCGACCCGTATCTCTCACCGTTTTGGAGATTACAACGATGAAAATCTGACAAAATTGTTATTCAAATCATTCTGGAACAAACTAGGTAGACATCCTCCTAAAGATTCTACAAAACTAGTTTTAGCTGTATGTCATATATTATCTCAAGTGTTGCTTTCAAGAATTGCAAAGGACTAAATTAAAACATAAGAAAGCAGCTCGCGCAATATTTGGTTGAATGTGTCAAAAACCAACAACAAATGCGTTCAGTGCAAATGATGGTCAATGAAATCATCCAAAAAGGATAACATCTCTGGCAACAACGCCGACTAAATTACAACAGCCGTGTTTAGATGCCACCAGCTGTTTTGTGGACGCCATGTTCTTGAAGTCATCTCTTATCTCGATCTAATTTTATTTCGCTTGTCTAATGGTATTCTATTTATACCACTCTTTGATTGTAACTTTGGTACAGGGTGGCCGATATGTAACTGACTGGTTGGTATCTTGGATATTTGTGAAATGATATAAAAAACGTCAATTTTTTTCATCTTAACATTTTATTGAAACTTATGTATGAAAAATAATATCAAATGTCCGTCTCTAGAAGAGGCGTAAACCTGAGCCCTCTTGATTACATTTTCCATCACTTTTTCGTAGGTTTCAGGAGGAATATTTTATAACAAATCCGTTTATATCGAAGTGGGCTTCATTGCTCATTTTCAGTTGTCGGTAAAAATCATTATTTTGGGTATTAAGCTGTAATTTGCATAACTGTATTGTCGGCGACTTTCATGGTCACTATGCTGTAGTTCTTGGGTTAACTGAATTTTGTATGTCCGCAAATACAAGTATTTTTTAAAATAGTGTATAATGACATGCGACGAATACCCAGTTCTTGAGAACCATATCTCATATACGTCTCAGGGCGGTGCACTACACCTTCGCGAACTTTCTCGATATTTTCCGGAGTATGAACGGCCCGACCTTGAGACTTTAACTTTACCAGTTCCGCACCAACTGACGAATGGTGTTGACACTGGACACATTATTTCGACCGCATCGTTGCAACAGCGACTCATTATTCAAGTACAACGTTTTAACAATATGGACGCGTTTTGGGATCGTGTAACGCTTCATGATGAATTGGACACATGTGCTTTAAGCAACTACGACGGCGCCACCTACTGAAATGCGTGTATCAAAAATGGCGCGCAATTTAAATCACGTGGTTATACATTGGCCATCCTGTTTGAATAACAACCTAAAAATCTACAGCTGCAGTATGATAGAATGGCGTGCCAACTTATAATTACTTACAATTTGGAACACCTTTCTATCATACTACAAGCGTTCAAAAAGTTCATACCCAATATTTCCAGTCATTCCTATATAATTGAGGTTATATTTCGCAGCTTCAACTTCCCTAGGATCACTTTCTGAAACGTCGTCCATGGCGAATATTTCTTTTTGTCTGAACTTTGCGTTATCATCAAAATTCAATTTAGCGTCAACAGCTACCACTTTTTTATCATCAGTCTCCACTAGAGGGTTAATTTCTAACTGAACTGCGTCAACATTACAGAATAATTTCCATAAACTTTGTATTTCCTTTGCAGCTTTTTGTTTAAGATCTCCTTTGAATTCTAAGAATGCAGCTATGTCTTCAGCCATCTGATCCGTTACACCTTAAAAAAGGGATCCAAGTAGAGTGACTGTTGGCACCTCTCAAGCATCAATAGCAGCAAGGACGATTACAGAGGGAACGTATGTGACCAGGGTGGAAAGGATACAAAATATTTAATATTAGTGAATTTCCTGGGTATATTTTTACGCTGATCCTTTGGGGGGAACTTAACAATCATTAGCTTGGATATTTCAAGCGTAATTCTTTCTGAAAAGGGGAGTCCTAACTAGTTTATACCTTCAAAGATGTCTACAGGTACTTTTTTCAATAAATGCGGAGTTTTTTCTGCAACAGCTTCAATGTCCATGCCACCGGCAGGAGATGCTATAATCACTGGACCATTCATTTGACGATCCATTAAAATACAGAGGTAGGTTTCTCTCTTAATGTTCACACTTTCTGCTATCATTATCTTTTTTACTTCTATTCCATCTTTTGGTGTCTGTTTAGTAATTAGTTTGTACCCTAACATTTGGTTTATCAATTTCGGAACTTCCTCCTTGCTGAAAAATTATACAAAAATTAATTATTAAGGTGCAATTCACTGTAAATCTCATGACTCTAATTCTAACAGAATCAAGTAGACTGGTTTCTTGTTTTTTTTTCCATCAACTCAAAGCCAATGCATCCAATATTCGAAGTCCATTTACGCCCCGGCACAACAAAGATGCAGCCCGGAAAAGTGGCAGCCGCCTAAGCGTTGCAATAGCTATTGGTCATTCGGCCATAAAACTACGAACAAGTGCAGGATTCGGCAGGATAGAACTCAGGCTCGGGGTATGGCAGGAATGCCGAAGCCGGCAGTTGCTACTCGTATTCGGTACATACTATACATAGCGTATGTTTACACGTTAGCATGTAGTCTACGGATACAGTAAATGAAACTGATAATATTTCTCCCAATGCTTCCTTCAGCCATGCTTCCTGTTCAGTGATGTCTACCCCGAAAACATGACAAGAAAGGACATTTGAATATTCAGGCAAAAGAAATTGTCCTTAACGTTTATGAGAGCGAAATCTTAGAGCATCCTGAAATGAAAATTCATGATATTGAAAGACGTGTGGCTTATGTCCTAAGACAATCTTCAACATTGTTAAAGAATATAAAAAGAACAACAAAATTTCTCCACCAAGCAAGAGGCTGCATTACACGAAGCTGTTGGATACAGTTAAGAACTTTGATCGTAATGCCATCAGACGCAAAGCCCATCAATTTTCTGAAAGGCCGGAACTTCCCACTATAGGGAAAGTTTTACAGGAGGTTAATAGTGATGAAGACTTACCTACTTTCAAAAAGACCACAATCTATAGTTTACTCAAAGAACTTCATTTTGAGAATAGAAAACAGGGCAGAAATAGTATTTTGATGGACAGCCGAGATTATTTTATAGAGAAGAAATTATTTAAAATCAATAAAGAAATACCGCGACCAGGGCAGGAAGATTTATTACTTTGATGACACCTGGATGAATGCAGGACATGCAAAACTTAAAGTATGGGCTGACTCTACAGTTAAATCAGCAAGACAAGCCTGCTTAGATGGAGTAACCACTGGCCTAAAGAATCCGTCAGGTACGTGTATCAAACCAATTCGTCATTTGTGTTATAAAAATGGTGTCAAGTAAACTGAATCTGTGAGCTCAAGCTGAAAACTTAGCTATATCTGGTAGATTTGGAACCAACACCCGTTAGAGACTCTGCTTGCATTATTATTAGTTTTCTTGAATACTATATGAAAGACGGTTCTGTGCCCGTTGCCCTATGGGCATTTGAGTCACAGAAAACGACCGACTACCATGAAGAAATGGACGGGAGTTGATTTGAACGTTGGTTTGCAGAAACGGCTCCCAAAGCTAAATGACAATGCCATCATTGTACTTGATAATGCTGCATACCACACTAGGAAACTAGAAAAATTTCCCACAATGTCCCCAAGAAAGGCAGAAATTCAACAATAGCTCTTATCAAAAGACATTAGTTTCAATGAAAATATTGTCAAAGCAGAAGTTCTAGACCATCTAGACAGACAGCACAAATATAAATATAATCTTAATGTTATTGATGAAATGTCTACAAACGAAAATAAGACCGTTTTATCACTGCGAATTAAATCCCATTAAAATGATTTGGGCAAATATAAAAAACTACTACTATATGGCTTCAAACAATAGAACATTCAAATTTTCTGACGTGAGAAATTTGTTTTACGAAGCTGCCAACAGAGTGACGGCAAACCATTGGAAAGATTGCATCTGTCACGTTCAAGAGACAATCGAAACAAAGATGTGGGATCTGGAGAATATGATCGATATTCAAATTGAATCTGTAATAATTAATATTAACCATTCGGACGATGATTCAAGTGCTTCCAGTGAATAAAGAATTCTGAAAAGTATGTGCACTTCTTTCTATAAAAATAAACATTTATTTTTTTAGATTATTGCAAGACCATTGAGGAAAATACGGACCTGTACAACCTCGCTTTTTGGCATGTTGTGTTTTGTCTGGGCATAAATGGACTATGAATGGGGTATAGCTTAAAGATTAGTAAGCTTTCATTTGCATATCTGTGGTTTCATTTGGCGGCCAGTTGAACATACAGGACTGTCTCTAAAAATATTTCATATATTTACTTTTCTGTTATGTGTACACCACCCTTGAAGCCATTGTCGAAATGGCCTTTACCCCTGCCTCCAGCAAGAATTTGAGCTTTCACAACATATTCCTTCACATCTGAAAATAATTCCTTGTTTCAACTCATAACAGCTAATCTTATCTTGTATAATATAACAAATATAATTACAATGAACCAATTGTTTAATAAGAAACGCATATATTTTATTCATGGCATATTTATAGCAATATCGAGATAATGGTTTAAACTACGTACTGAAAGTATAATCTCAAAAGTGAGGTCCACTATTTTTATTTTCCATGCCACTGGCGCTGAAACTTTGTCTTTTCACATTTCAGAGGTTCCTGGTCATTTTAAAAATTGGGGGTTGGGGATTGTAGTGGGTAGAGGGTTGTAAGTGAAAAACATTCTATTATTAAAAGCTTCTAGTCTCGGTAATCACATACACCAATCAGACAAATTGAAATGCTGATATGTTCCATTCACACCATTACATCTCAAGTTTTGCTCCCTGGTTAGCACCCAAAAACACCAATAAATTCAGTGGCCTTGAGAAGTACAGAATCAACCTACTTGACACCATTTTAAATTTCAAGAGCATTGTTATCAATAAATGATACATCATTATAAAGCTCTAACATTGCATTTTATAGAGACTGTGGCAGTTCTTATATGCACGTTGCACGTTGTAATCAATGAGTGCCAAGTCTGGAGTATTAGTCTAATCATAATAAATGAAAATACCCCTGGTTGTGAAATAATTGTAAAGTCTCTTTTACTGATGCCAGTTGTTCAAGGGGTATTTAAAACATGGACGCATAAAATGGGTAGACCAATTTTTGTGGGAAAACTTTTATTCAACAACAAAGATTGAGAAAACCTATTTTTTGGGATTCAATCGAAAGTGTTGGCAGGAACGTAAAAACTCTTCAAATGAGATTTTTAGGTATTTATGACATCTACATCTACATGTAGAAATATACCACTGATATTGAAAAAATTATGGCCGAAAACCGAGGCAAAATGCAGGTTTTAGCACTTGTCGCTAATGCGAAGATAATTTCACGCAGCTACTTGAATCCGTAGGCTTTAGACTTCTAAATAACCACAACAAAATTGGAGTCGATTGGTCAAGTAGTTTTTGAGAATTTCTAATTGTTTATCCCAAAACATATGTATTCCAGCCATCACTACTAGTTTACTGAGCAGTATACAGGGTTCGTTCAAAGGGCATTTTATAGCTTTTAGGATCATCTGTGATCATGTAAAATTTCAGCTCTAAATATGTATGCACAAGAGTATGAAGAAATCTTCAAAAAAAATTGTTTTCTTCAGAACAACAGGAGATAGACACATCCGCTTTGTTTTAAAAATGTGTATCATAATGTATGTTTTTCAAACATTGTAGCGTATCTGTTCAGTTATTCACAAAATGAATTTGTTTAGAAGAAAAAAACGTAACCCTTCGTTCAAGTAGCTGCGTGAAATTATCGTCGCATTTGCAACAAGTGCCAAAACCTGCATTTTGCATCAGTGTTTTGCAATAACTTTTTTACTATTAGTCAGATCTTTTTACGTACAGTCTCATTTTTTAGGTCTCATAAATACCTAAAAATCTTATTTGTAGAGTTTTTTCATTCCTGCCAACACTTTCAATTGAGTCCCAAAAAACACGTTTTCTCATTATGTCTATGTTTTACATACCCCCTTGAACAACTTGCATCAATACAATAAATTTGCTAATATCATTAGACTATATAGGATCTGTGACTGATGATCTCCCATCCAAACTGTTGCAGAAGAGCGACTGTTTGACAAGCAACATGTGCAGAGCATTTTCGTGGGAAATGCTTATGCCCTAGCTCAACATATATCTTCTTTGCTTCCTCCACATTCAAGTTTTTTCCAGTGTTTCACAGTTCTCACTACAATTTAATCCCTAAGCTGAAAAGAGTTTCAGTTCTGATAATGAAGTGAAACATGAGGTTCAGTGAATCCTCAAGGATATGGCAGCAAGTGGGTATAACCACCACAGCTTATTTAGAAAAGTAGACCAATGTTAAGCTTTTTGAATCATAAGAAAATAGGTGACCTCATCTTCTGGATTACCTTGTAGGTTCTGAGAAACGATACAGCAAAGCTCATTTAGCTATTTGAAATATTCATCACTAAGACAATGTAAATGTGAGAAACAAATAATAATATTTCTAGTAGTTTGATTTAGACTCAGAATAGAATATCTTTAAGGTAGTTGGCCACATTCCTTATATCTAAGCTTGAAACTTACTGAATTTATCCAATTCATTTGTACCATGCACATCGACCATACAAAAATCTTGAACAGCTACCCATTTTTTCTTAGCAAGTGTTTGCTTTGATATTCTAACAAATTTAAGTGACGGACTTGAACCTAAAAATATTCCAAACTATAAATGGAGGAAATTAAGATAGAAAAACTTACAATTGTAAATGTGTCCTTCTGGCTAAAACTGTATTGAAGACACCAAGGAAGACATAGTTGTAGTTCACAGTTAAAATGTTTATCAATATTTCTAGGTAGCAAGATCTGATTCAAATACAATTATTAATACTTCTGTTGCAACCAGCTTCCAATACTCATATCAACAGTATATCAAAGTCACGTCTGTAAGGTTAAAGCTATTAAAAAACCTCTAGTTTCTGTACTTTCTGCTTAAAAATTCCAAGCCATATCAATCACATATGGTAACTAACCCACAGTTTGTTTTTATCTCGGAAATATACGTGCATATGTTCCAGAAAAATCTATTATTGTAGAAAAATTTAAAATGTAAATAGTTTATAAACTTCAAACCAATGAATATGGAGAATTGGGGTGATAAAAAGAATGAATAATCAAATCCAAGCGAATAACCAAAATTTCTGTGTTATGTGCCGCGGTTATAATATGGTTCAAGATGACACACCGGTTGATGACGTCAGTTACACGAATCGCTTGAACGCGTTGGTTTTAACGCGGTTTTGTTGCAAGTTGTTTATTTTAGAAAAGTGCGTATATAATCTCTGATTATTTTTATTAACACTTAATAATCGGTGCTTTTTTGTCTACAACGGTGTATGAAAAGTTTAAATAAGAAACCGTTCATAATATTCATGGGAGAAATGTTTTTTTTTCAGAAAAATTTTTCAATGATGGAACCATGGTTTTGTAGCTATGATAACTTTTAATTCTCTAAAGTTTTCCGCATGTCAAAGAAAACATTTATTGATTTAGCAGAAATGATGAAAAAAACGATGGAAAAAGATATTAGTAAAACCGTATACAGGTGGACATCATCCAGTGAGTTAAATGGCCATATTTTAATATTCTTGTGGTATATAGCTACACAGGATACTTGTTAAAACTAGAACTAATTGAAAGGGTTCCCAACTACAGTAATGAGTATAACTAATAAGGTGCTCCACTTTATGCTAACACTGAAGTCAGCCTGTATCACGTTTCCCAAAAATTAAGCTGAGTACAATAACAATATCCAATACCCGGCAAAATTCTAACTTGTCACATTTCAAATAATAACCAGAAATATAAAACTACTCCTGAGTTGGGTAAATATCACAATTTTGCGGTGATAACTATGACATATAACAGCTGATTTCATGACGTCACGGATCTTATAACCAACTGATAACCACACTCGCTTTAACGGATCGGTAAATACCAACCCAAAATGGTAAATACCATTTTCATTTGGTTATCCGCTTGAATTTGATTAATGTATGTTTCATCAAAGCAATACACACAAATCACAGAATAATTTATTTCGGTAATTTATGGCAATATAAGATATGAATTGTTCCAAACTTTACTGAGCTTGCGCAAAGTCACAATTTCTTAACTAAAATAGTAATGCGGGTCCCACAGGATGCCTCCAACGTTGTATACAACGTTGTTTACAACGTTCGACACCACACGATTAACAAGTGTGTCTCCTTCTCCTACACGATAGACGATAGCATGAACTTTTTAGTCTTGGACATTCGACGCATGGTGGTGCTAATATCCGTGTCAGTGTCGCGCTTGAACCTTTACAACTGAAGGGAAAATTATACAAAATGAACGATGAAACAATTCTTTCGAGCGCCGAAAAATAATTTCAGATCTGTCTTCAAAAACGAAAATTTTTGTTTGATTTTCAACGCTAGCTCCGCCGCCAAAGTACCGATTTTTAAAAACTGCACAGCTTTTTCTTCATTTTCATAGTAATAACCTAAGGTCAACATTTCATCAAAATCCTGATAGTACACACATCATCAAAAGTGTTGGACCCCCTGGCGTACTGGGAAACTATAGCCTTCTAATTTCAATCTTTGATATATTTTAAATTGGGGATATTTTTACTATATTTATTTAACAAAACGTTAAATCAATTTCATTAATATGAAAAGAAAAAGAAAGTTGAACAAGTAAGGTACCAAAAATGTTTTTTTAAAAATCAAAATTAAAGAAAAATAATTATATACACTATGAGGAAACTATTATTTTTTTAAAGCAAGGTGCAGATATGGGTTTCAACAGGGTTATGGGCAGAGATATTCGCTTCTTAGTCACGAAATCTCGGAAACTCTTTGACTATGAACATGAAATTTAGTAGGTAGGTAGTTTATGGACAGAACTTGTCAGTTTTACAGGAGCGCCGGATGAAGGGAGCTAAACGCAAATATATACTAAGTGACATAAATCCGAACACCCAGTTTAAATGGTTTTATTTTAATAAAAGTTGGTGAATGTATTTATCTTACTGTAAATAACAAGTGAAAAAATTTTCAGCCTTATCAGTTGGACATTCCGGTTTTTATACTGCTTTTTTTTAATTCACTAACGCTCTAAAAATGAATTATTCAGCCGCAGTAAAGAATCAACGTTGGCGGATTTTGGTTCTTGACATCCTTTACGATCGGTTACGATGCCTAGAGTACGGAGACCTGTACGATTTCGTCAACTTAGTGAGTTTAATAGGGGCCGTATAGTGGGACTTCGGGAAGCTGGACTTTCGTTTCGGGCAATTGCAGTTTGAGATGCAAAGAAGTGTAGACACTGTGGTTAGGTGTTGTCAGGCATGGCTTCGAGAAGGCCGTACGCAAAGAGCAAGGGGCACTGGATGCCGCCGTAGAACAACAGACCGTGAAGATCGCCGCCTAAGATTATTGGCCTTAAGGGACCGTTTCTCCACTACCAGGTCCATTGCAAAGGAATGGTTTGCAGAACACGGAAGACCTATTGGCATGCGAAGTGTTTACCGACGAATGTGCGTAGCACATCAGGGAGCATCCACACCTTATTAAAGGTCAAAGGGCTTTAAAGCA